GCTCGCTAAGCCTGTGATGGATGTCGGATTACCCCTTGGCCTGTGTCTTCCTGACAAAGAAGGCATCAGCCTGCACTGCAACAGAGGACACACACAAACACACACACAGGCAAACATGCAGACACACACAACCCAAACATACACCCACCATCACCCTGAAGATCCCGCATACAATGATCTACGAATCTCTGTCGTGACCCAGACACCCCGAACTCATCCACACATATGGCACTGACAGGATATTCATGTGTTCTATAGACAACTGTCATGTTTTACTGCATTTTAATATACTTTGGCATGAAGATATATTGTATCAATTATATTTGTTAAGCATTTAGGAAATTATTAAATCTTTCTTTTCAAATGTTGTTCTTAGTTTGGGAACAACAAAACGCAAAACGTCCTGTGAATGGAGATGTACAATCTCCATTCACAGGATCTTTTGAAATGTGGACTGTACAAGTCCACATTTAAAAAGAGAAGATAAATAGGTAAGAATTTTAACAAAAATGGCTTTGTTTATAAAAATATGCCATTGCCTAAAGCAGGTACATTCTTATAAACAGAGACACAATTAAGTTAAATAAAATGATGAATCGCCATGATGAATGCAACCACAAAACCAAAGGAAGTGTCTGTAAATGCAGGAGGGAAAATGTAATGAAAAGTGAATGTTTAAATCAACCGGTTGATAGGATCTTTTAAGTGTATTGAAACCTGTTGAACCCACCACCAAACCTTTTTTTAAGTATTAGAAGTCCTTTCAGAGCAGAGTTTAAGCAAACAGAAAATAAATTATAAAACTTAAGAGCTACTCAGATGTATTTTATGATGTTGAGTTTTCATGATGAGATAAGATGCATTTTCACCTTCAAAGAAACACAAACTGTTGTCCACCTTTATTATGACTGGAAATGTGTCTATGTACCTTCCTTTTGGGGCCAGATTACACCTTCTGAAAATATTCCCAAAACAAAAAGTTGGTTTTCGTCATATTTCTAGTCTATGGAGTCCCACAAGGTTCTATACTGGGTCCTCTCCCTTTCTATATTTAGATGCTCTTTAATGGTCACAAAACACAACCTCTTTTTTTACTGTTATACTGATGACATTCCCATCTACCTGGAGAAATATTTAGATCCTTTACTTCAGTAAAAGTAATATACAACAATTTTAAAATAACCTGTTACAGTAATAGCTATAACTATACCACTATATTAACGGATGAAGGATTTTAGTCATTGGATGTCTGAATCTTTAGTTTTCAGAGAAACAAGGGAGAAACACGTTGCATCTTAAAACTGCTTTAAAAAGCTGACTGCAATGATGAACTCCCATAATCCCAAACTGCTTCCCCATGTCACCTAACTAGTTGGTATTTGTGTTAAATCCTCTTTTTTTAAATCCTCCATTGACGCTATTTATTTATTTATTTTTGCTTTCTCTTTTCTCGTTTTTTTTCTCTTTTGTTCTGTAAAGCACACTATAAATAAAGTGAAGCTATCATGCTGAAGAAAAAACTGACAGAAGGGGGCCAGTGGAGCCTCACTTTGGTAAGGTAAGCGAACTTAAAAAAAACCCAGCTCTGTAATAAAGCTGGGGCTCCTTCCAGGCCCTCTTTCTCCACCATCCCTCCACAGCCCTAATCAACCTCACAGCCTCCGTAAGACAACCCCCTCCCTACCCCAGCCCTACATGACAATAGCACCAGCAGTTACCCAGGAAACAGGTCTTTCATTAGCTGTGTGATAAAAAAGATGTATACCCGTCTCCTCTCCATCCACTTTTTCCACATCTTGTTTTTTTCTGAAAGATCCTGCAGATAAGCTTCATCTCTCAAGGGCTCACAAACATTACTTTCTTTTCTAAGACTTCCTCCTTAGGAATACCAGTCAAGTCGTGGGGCAACGGAAACAGACAGGTCCAGACTACTGAGAAATGATATTTTCATCAGTTTCAGACCTCCCAGTGCCAGTGTCTTTGAATTATCTGTCTGGACTTTAACACAATATGCTATTCTCTCTCTCCTTCACTCTGTGACTCACATGCTAACAAGAACTATATTAACATGCACATAGACATTCCACTTAAAGACCAAATGGGGAAATATTCAAAATTTGATATGGGTCATGGATTATTTGGGATTATTCCATATTTCTTCTTTATGTAGCTTAATCTGAAAAAGAAATGCCGATATTATTCTGTTTTACATGTTTACATCACATTCACAATATACTGTACAGTATATCTCAATCATGGTTTTTATTTGAGTTTGCAACACCTCTTGCCTGTTTAGGGTCAGCTCTGTATGTTGGATACAAAACAAACTGGCCAACAGTTTGCAAACCTTGGGTTGAGAAGCACGTTTAAAGAAAGAAAAATGAGAAACAAACTTACTTTAGCAAACATTAGCAAAACCACGGGTATCAACGGGTTTATGAATATGCTCTAATAACACACAGCCTATCTTCTCTAGAAGGGGGTTGAAGGAGTGATAAAGTAGGCTGTGTTTGCATGGTCATAGGAGCACAGTTGTAAAACTTAAACATTTGTTATTCATATCCTATTTTAATTCCTATTAGGAACTATGACAAGGGGAAATACTACAGTAACTGTAGTGTAATGTAATATAATGTAGTTTTGTGAAGTGTAATTGAAGAATGCATGGCTGCATTTATAAGTAAATATTAGTGGAATATTCATTGTCATTTGCCATGTAAAGCCATGTGAACACCTAACTGAGGAATTGTGAACATTTTCATCTATTTACTTACCACACATACCAGATTATTTATGACAAACGCCTTATACGTCCTAGTTAAAACAAACGCTTCAAATAAAAGTTGTTATATCAATCCATTTTAGGGAAAAAACTGTGCATTTGTGGCATAGAAAATCAAACAAATTACGAAATAGGGATACAAGAGGGCAAACTATTAGTATCTTCTTGCCTCTTTTAGGCTGAACCTGACCATCTTCCCTAGTGTGGGCGTTTAGCACTTTCAGTTTGCAACGTTTCTGGGTTGGAACAAGCGCTAAGGGTTAGCATTTCACCAGGAGGCTCTTCTTACCTGCAGCCATCAGCGAGGCCAGGGAATAATACCTGCATCGGGTTACCTTGGGCCTCTCATCTAACCAGCCTGCCACATTATAATGATGAGCCCTGCAGTCCAGCTGGAGCGCTAGGCCCAGCAGGTAATAGCTGTCCAGGGGGGAGGAAGGGGAAACGTCAGCTCTCCTTTCCAGGAAAAAAGCGCTTGGGCTTGGGCATGAACATGCAGGATCCTGCTCTTCCAGCAGCGTGTTGGGTGTCCATCATAAAGAGGTGTAGCGTTACAGCACTTTATTCTCAGTCGTCATTGCCTCATCAAAGAGAGACACGCTTAGTGACAGTCAGAGAGCCTGTCTGTTCATGACCTCCGGGGGGGACGCAGGCTTCTTATATTCTGTGTATTTGCATTTGATTACTGGCCGCTATTCGTTTGACTCTCTGAACGCGAGCCACCTTGCTAATCTTCAGCGGGGTCAGAGAGAGATGGTGTGGTCTACAGCGGGGCAGACAGGCGGTGATATATGGGGCCGTGGGACACTTGTCCCCGTTAGACCCCACACCAACCCAAAGAAGGACCACAGATCTAAGTGAACAAGAGTCTGACTGAGCACAGACAAAGACCTGAAAGAGAAACCCAGCCACCCCCTGCTACTATTACCCATCCACTGTCTGATCACAGCAAGGGCCCGAAAGAGATGAGCAGGAAAAGACCAGCGTAAATCTCACGTACAGGCACACTAAAGCAAAGGGAGGCTGGAGGGGGAGGATAAAAGCAGAAGAAAACAAGTCTACAACCATACAAGCAGCTCACAATGATAAAGTCAACATGCTGATGTACAGTGGGTAAAATGTTCACTGTTACATCAGTAAACATGGCTAAGACAGGGGATTGTCATTAGTTCTGCAGGTATACGATCATACACCAAAGTATTGCAAACATTTTATGTTTACCTGATGATGTCATTAGATTCAATTGAACTTGTGGGGAACATGAATGTTCATGCAAAATTCATACCAAATCTAATGATGGAGAAAAATGAAATAACATCCTCTGGGATCGCTACAAAAGTTTGACCAATCTATCACGTTAAAAAATAGACATTTCCCTAAACAGATAAACAAGTAAAGTCAAAGAATCTTGAACGTTATTTGACTTTATCATCTGGGACACATGAATATCTCAACTACATTTCATAGCAATCCATCCAACAGTTGTTGGGATTTTTTCAATAAAATACAAAGCATTTAGATCTTATTATGATCAATTGATCCTCTGGGGAACAAGCATGTATGTGAATATAAAATCACCAAAGTCGTTACCGTCTAGTCTCTGGGGATCAAGAACGTTTTTACAACATTTCGTGGTCCTTGTAGTTAGATATTTTATAATATTTTACTCCATTCACAAATATCAACTTCATAATTAGCATTATAAGAAAAGTCAGATGATAATCAAAGTCAGAAGGATTGAACCTCTGGGGAACATAAATATAAAAAATAAACGTTTACTTATCCATCAAGTAGATATTTTATTGAAAAAAGTATGTTAGAGCAAGTCAGACATTATCTGAAGTCAGTATTTATTTATTTGATTGAATATATGATAAAGTTACTCAGTAAGATGTATCCTCCAGGGAACAGGAATGTCTAAAACATTTCATGGAAAATTATCCAATAGTTGAGAAAAAAAAAAAAAAAATCTTTCTCTGTAAACCATTCAGTAGATGTTGAGATGTTTCAGTGAATACATTAAAAGTGGATGGTGGTGCTACATGAAAGCTCATAGGATCCCCTAAATCAGTAAGGTTCATCCTCTGGGGATCACAAATGTTTTTTTTAAATCTCTTGGTAATCCATGTGATTGTTGATGATAAATTATAGTCTGACCCAGAGGAAAACCAAGTCAAATGATTAATAATAAATCAAACATATAATTTAAACAACAAGATGCAGTAAAACATGTTTTTATTGTCAAGGAAAATAAAATAAAAACAGGAAAGAAAAGATCACATACAGTGTGTCTATCTTTACAGAACCAATCATGGTATAATATAATATGCCATTATAACGCTTTAACGTGTTATTTGATCAAGAAGAGCTGACAAACCATTGTTTCATGACAAAGAGTTCTTTGCGTATTCACACCTCATAATACACAAGCTAGTGAAACTGGTGTCTGGAAAGTAAACTGCATGTAAAATATAACAAGTATCGCTGTACATTGATTGCACTTTCACACATTTTAGAGGAAAACAGGAGCAATGAGTCTATCATTAAAGTTAAGACTATGTGTATTCATGTGGAGTGGTTTGGTTATCCAACAACCTATCAGAAGTTATGTTTTAGAAAAAAAGGGAAATTCCTCTAAAAAACACTGCCACCCTGTCGAGTCCCAAGTGTTGTTCTTGGCACATAGAAGGTCAGCTATTCATTTACAAGGCTCTTTGGCCTTTCTAAGATGAGCTTTTTAAGGTCCTAATAGAATTTTGCCTCAAGCTGTTTAGGCTTTTACACCTTGAAGCTCAGACGTTCTTCCTCAACTGCTTAACATCTACTCTGCTAAGAATCACTACTTAAAACTTCTAAAAGGAGTCTGATATGAAGGAGTCCTCTTGAAAAAAAAAAAAATGTAACCTGCATAATAGTTATTAATCTAGTAAAACTGCTCCTAGTTAATTCTGAAAAATGCATACAGAGAATAGTTAGTACCAAAAACCCCACACAAAAAAACAACATACAGTAAATCACTCCTATATCAAACATCATTTGGCAAATATTATTTATCATCATAGTGCTGCTGTCACAGTATTTACATAATAAAAACTAGTTCTTAGAAACTTTTGTCAATCATATCTCCGGCTTTTACTTGCTGGTACCAGTTTAAATTGTGGATCAGTTGTTTTCTGAACAGTATTTAGGCCAAACATAACATGAATAAACACTTTTTATGACGTAAACAGAGACCGTGATGCCTCAATCTTAAAGGCCGCATTTAAAAACTCTGACATTTGGAGGCAAAATCAGTGAAATGGAATCTATGGCGTGTTGCAAAGTGAATCAATCCAGATCTTTTGCATCAACTTAAAACACCGATTTGCTTCATTAACCATTAGCATAACTTTCTGAGCCTTGAAGGGATGGAGAGTTCAAAATGGAGAAAGCTTTGTAGCTTGGTGTGTCACCAATCTACTGTCAGACTAAATACTGTTAAAAGACAGGGGGCCATAGTACTAATACAGCTAATTTAAAGCGCAATAAAGTCAAACTTGCTTACCATGGATGTATTATACGAACTGGATACCAGATTCCAAGATGGCGCTAAGTTAATCGAAAACATATTGCTTGAAGAGCTCATAGGTGTTCTGACTCCCAACCAAGCAATAACGCGGTCAGTGGCCCTACCAAGCCCCCAGGAAGAGCGCTAAGCTTTAAAGCACATTTTTGTTGTGGCTAAACATTGAATTACAACTTCCATGTTAGACACGTTATGTCATGTGCCCCAAAAATACGTTTCCCATTGATTTACATAGGGAGGAATGCGTGTAATTTTTTAATAGTAAAACTACTTCTTAGTAGCGGCTTGGAGGCGGGGTTTATGGAAACGCAACATGGCATGCTCTACAGTCCCCATGAATGCAGACGGTCAACAGAAGGTTCAGGTGATTTTGGACTTGAAAGTTAGGCCCTTTTTGTTCCAGTACATTGAGGCAAGAGGTCAGGGCAGATGGACTGGGTCAAACCAATTCAATATTTTCCAGGTGGACTTCTGTTTTTTTCACGTTTCACATACTTCACTTACTTACGTGACCCAAGCCACCATTTGTACTATATATTTAACCATATATAAACCCTAACCCTAAACGTAACCAAGTCGTAACTGAACCCATCTTATATCGAGTATGTGACGTAATGTTGAGGTTTATCGGACTATCCTGCATGTTGAATTACGAGACTAAAGGAGTACCAAGTTCTTAAGAAAAATGTATACCGATGGGACCTGACTCATTAGTGCTTTTCCGTTAAATTCACAATGTCACACTCATTCAAATCACTTACTCTAGTTACATTTTACAAGAACTAAGCCTATAGAATTCGTTTTTCTATTTGTAGAGAAACAAAGTGATTGATTATTATTACCTTGTTTGGAATTCAAGCTTTCCTGTCAGTTTGTTTGTTGTAGTAGGTATACAGTTGGCCACTGGAGGCACTGCATCCAGCTGTCTTAATCCACATCCATCATGCTAACTAACTACATCACCAGGGTTCGTGAAGATGGATTATATTTCTGTTTAATTTTGTGGTGTGACCAGGCCCTATTTCTGGATTTCTTTTTGTCATTTCATACATTTAGTTTGAGTTATTTTTCTGTGTGATGATGTTTCTGCTGCTGTACATCGTGGCATTTTTGTTCATTAGGCATTGGGAATTCACTTCCTGCATGAATCAGCAACAAAAGGTCATTCTAAAAATACTTTAAACATCTTGAAAAAGCCAATAAGCGTTGCTTTAGTGTAATAAAAAAAGAGTCTGTTATTCCTCATGTATGAGTTTTCATTTTCCAACTATTCCTCAAAGGAGGGTGTCAATCCGGGTGTTGGGGTCCCCGCCTAAAGAGTCTCCAAGATCAAACAGCTGGTCCAGGTTAACGGAGGAGCTACACAGGAAGTCATTGCTGCTGTGTTCCTCCTCTTCTGGCCACGGGGTCTCTAGGAAGGCGGTGGCGAGGAAGGTCTCCTCATCAAAGTCTGACACCTCATTATTCCTTTGGGTCTCCACCAACACGTGGATGTCCGCGGTCCCTGGGGGGGCTTCGATCGGAGAGATATGGGTCCCCCGCACCGTCAGGTCTTCATCCGTCATGATGGGGCTCAGAGGTTCTCCTCCATCCAAACTGAGCTCCCCATTGAGAGCCGAGTCCAGCAGGGCGTCCCAGTCAAAGTCTCCCTTCAGAGGTCCGATCTCCTTCTGTTCCTCGACGGAAAGCAGCGGCGAACTTGAGCGCCTGGGAGCTTTGGTGCCGCCATTTCTTGATCCTAGTTTCCTCTTGTGGCCACTTCTTCCCCTCACCACCGGCCAGGACCCCAGCATGGTCCCTTCAGCCATATGGGGGTCCCAGTTCTGGTCGGCACCGGTTGCCTCTTCGAACTCCTGGAGAAGCTGCTGAGACTCGGGGTTGATGCACAAGCCACTCTGACTCCCCGCAGGGATGCAGGGGCCTCTGGTTTGTGGGTGGATGTTGATTCGGAGACGGTTTTGCAAGGCTGGGTTGATCTGGACAGGGGGCATTCGCCTCTTCTTGTAGGCGCCGCTCAGGAGACGCTCAGCGTACTGAGGGTCGATCTTCCAGAAGCCGCCCTTCCCGGGTTCATCCTTCTGACGCGGCACCTTGATGAAGCACTTGTTGAGCGATAGGTTGTGTCTGATGGAGTTCTGAAAATACAGATGAATGTTTCAACTTACACTCGTACAATGGTTTCATCAAACAGCATCCTGAAGGAACGACATGTTTTTTTAGGAAAACCCAGAAATTCGCATAGCATAACCACATAACTTATTAGAGGCATCTAACCAAAAATCCCATTGAGTTCCAGGTGAGAAAATAGAAATAAAAAAAAGCTAAATTATTAGGATTTAAAATATATATATATTTGGTAAATATGCATATTATATTCTGTATTATAGTATAATACTAATACCACTCTCTTGTCTCTAATGTTAATATAGCGAGTACAGCAAGTGGGCTTAGCATGGTAACAATCTCAACATCTAACTGAACATCAGCCTGTAGTGGGGCAGGAAGTACACATGGCAGAGCACCACACACACCACCCCCCCCCCCCCCCCCCCCCCCAGCGTCTTCTTCACTGAAGTCTAAAAAGAGCAGCGACCCAATGACCTTTGTTAAATATTATCTGCCCCATGTACTGCCTTACAATAACAGAAAGCTCAGGCGCTGAAACACAGGAGTACAGCTAACCGCTTCACCAATCATTCATTTAAATTAAACTTTTTCCTGAAAAATTCCTAAACTTTAGAGGAAGAATCTCCTCCACCTCCACCATCACTTGTTTTTGATCAAGCAGAAAATACAGCTATAGCAAAAGCGTCAATATAAATAGGATTTTAGTGTTTACTTTGGTTTTGTACAGCTGGGGGGGGTATTTAGATTAATAACCACATGCGAAGTCACTAATACTTCAGTGTGGCAACAGGCCAAGGACTCGTTGTGTTAAAAATGTTCTTCTACTGTTCTTTAAATAGCAATATTTCGTGTTCCCAGCTGTCATTTGAAACTTAATTTCAAACAATGGAAACTGTGTTAGAACAATAAACTCCATGTCTCCATAGTTTGGTGTGAGAAATTTGAAATAAAAAAATGACATAGCAAGTTTTGTAATAAGTAAAGTTAAATTAAATGCCCAAAAGTAGCAATACCACAGTGTAGAAATACTCTCGAAGCAAAAGCCCTGCATTGTAATATAAGTAATAGTAGAAAAGTATGCAAACCAAATAAACGAAGAGGATGAGAAGAAAAAGCACTGATGCAGGATGGCCCATCAGAAGCGTGTATTACTGTAAATAGTGATGTAATGTGCTTAACACTTAAGTATTGCAGCTGGTAAATGTGGAATACTGCTGGGTAGGTTAAGTTATTATGTTAATTAATCATCATTTATATTAAATAAATATAATCTGGATCCGTAAAGAAACTTAAGCTGTCAAATAAATGTAGAAAAATCAAAAATTAAAATATGTTCCTTTAAATAGCCTAGATAGAGAACGAAATACTGTGTGTGTGTGTGTGTGTGTGTGTGTGTGTGTGTGTGTGTGTGTGTGTGTGTGTGTGTGTGTGTGTGTGTGTGTGTGTGTGTGTGTGTGTACGTGTGTGTATGTAGCCTATGTGCATGTGTGTGCATGTGTGTGTGTTTTCAAATACCTGCCAGGTGGGGTCCGCGTGTCTGTAGTAGCAGAAGTTGTCGGTGATCCACTGGTAGATGCAGGACAGGGTGATCTTGCTCTTCTTGCTGGCCTGCATCGCCATGCAGATGAGCGTCGCGTACGAGTACGGCGGCTTGATGCGCGTGTTCGTCTTGTAGTCCACCTCGTCTGGGCAGTGCCCGTGCGCCACGATGCCCGGCAGGGACTGCATCCTGCTGTAGGCTGCCGCTGTGGGCTTCCCGGGGGTCAGCGGCATGCCGATGGAGGAGGCGGGGTCCCCGGCCACAGGGGAGGCCGGTGCGTCGGAGCCCAGCCGCTGGTGTCCGAACAGCTGCTGCTGCAGGTGGAGCGCCTGCTGGGGCACGTTGGCACCGAGGATGGAGAACTCCTGCAGCCATTGCAGGCTGGTCAGGCTGTCGTCCAGGTTCACGGAGCTGCAGATGCTGCTGTTGGTGTCCCGCTCCTCCGCCTGAGCAGCCGCGGTCACCACCTCCTCCTCCAGCCCCACGGAGCCTTCGGGCCACGGGTCGGCGCAGCTCAGAGTCAGCATGGCTCTTTCTTTCTTTCTCTCTCTCTCTTTCTCTCTCTCTCCGTTACCCTCCTTCCCCTGCCACCGCCTGACAGGACACAAAATATACACCCGACTTTAACAAAGTGCGAACAGGCAGGACAATGATGAGCCTTATTTGAAAACAGAGCCTCTGTGTGCGCGTTTCTGCATAAAGTCAACGTCTTTTCAACAACCATTTAAATCCACTGGCTAGTCTGTCACCTGGATGTCTGAGTGATGACGCTTTAGAAACTAAACTTTGAAAACAATGGTGACAAAAACACTGGCCTCTTACTTTATGTCTCAAAGTCTCCATGAAAAACTCTGGTGCGCACTTGACGCTCAGCGCAGAAAAGAGTCATTACCAACTCCAATGATCAGCTTTAAACCTGACCCAATGTATTAAATAAACGTTTAATTATAACCTTTTTTTAAAACACCGACTGTTATATACATTGAGATGTAAAGACATGCTCACATGTTGGAGGTTTTACGCGTAAAATCCGCACATTAAGGGCATGGTTTGCTCCACATAAAACTACTAAAATGCTGATTATTCTAGTGTCAATATTTCAATGCAAATTAAATAATAAGCATGCCATATATAGTTTATGATCAACAAACTAGTCATACCTAAACGTGCGTATTAACAGGATATCCAAGGCCTTTTGGGAAAGTTTACAGGTATATTATATTCTGGGGATGGATCAAATTTAAACTCACCTTTTTCTGCTGTTATGTTGAGGAGAGGTCTTTTTAAATCCAGCACGTATAGAGCCTCAGCCTGCTTCACCTGGGGTCAGAATTGTGTGAGAATTAGGGAACGTTGGATTCCTGTGCACGGTGTTTGGCGCGGTGCTGGCCGCTTCTCCTCTAACGGGCAGGATCCTCCGGTGGGGGCCGTTTAATACCTGGGGCTGCAGGAGGTTTGTCCAGCAACCATAGAAACGGTGCACCCCCCACTTGTAAACAGCTTCCCGTTCCTCCATTGGCCTCCTGGTTTCTATAGTGTTGAACATTTTTAATCACTCTCAAGTCAACTGAGGCTGCAGGGTTTCAAGCTGAGGCTCGCGGACCCAAGGAGGGACCTGAGTGAACTGTATGTGCAGGAAGAATTTTCCAGATCGTTGACTGCAGTAAAACTATAGGCTACTTATACCACACTGAACATTGTCCTGCATTTAAAACATTATATTAAAAGTAAGATATGTTTCAGCCAAATGTAATCAAAATACTAGAATTAAAGTATTCATTGTGCAGTAAAATCATGCAGGAATGTAAGAGAAGGCCGCTTTCAGTCTCTTAAATGAGGAGATGTTCAGCTTTTTTTTGTTTTATATCATAAAGTGAAGATCTTTTGTTTTTTGGACTGACAAAACAAGGCATTTAAAGACATTACCTTAAATGTTGAGAAACAAGCATGGACATTTTATACACCAAACCATTCATCTAGAAAAATAATCGGCATATAAATGATACAACAAATCAAAGACTCATAAAGTGGAAGCAGATTTGTGTATTGGTTTCTTTCTTTTATTCATACGTTTACTGCACAACATGTAATTGTACTGCATTACATGTACTCCTACTGAAGAACATGTACTTTGACTGCACAGCTTTTAATGCAACATATACATTTACTGCACAATATGTACATTCATTGCACAGTTTTCACTGCACAATGTGAACTTTCTCTGCCCAATATGTTCTTTTACTGCTTGATATGCCTGTTTTACTATACAACACTTATTACTGCAAGACATGCAGGTTAACAATGTGTAATTGTTGCACAAATGTACTGTTACTGCACAACATTTACTTTTACTGCACAACATATGCAGTTTCTTCACAACATATACATTTACTGCAAAATATGTACATTTACTGCACATACTTTTATTGCACAGCTTTTACTGACATGCATGATTACTATAGTAACATACTTTTATTGCACAAAATGCACTTTTAATGCACTATACCGTTACTGAACAAAATGTAGTTTTACTGCACAACATGTTCTTTTACTTCAAGACATGCACGTTTACTGCACAAAGTGTACTTATGCTGCACAAAATGTGTTTTTACTGCACACAGATGAGAATACTTTTGTACTACACTTACAGTAAGCTGGATTCACATGCAGGATTTATCTGGTGATGGAGCACCTTTACACTGTTGTAATGGCATCTAAACACATGTTCCTCATGGTAGCCTGTTTGTCCACATTGTGTGTGTGTGTGTGTGTGTGTGTGTGTGTGTGTGTGTGTGTGTGTGTGTGTGTGTGTGTGTGTGTGTGTGTGTGTGTGTGTGTGTGTGTGTGTGTGTGTGCAGGAATGTACTTTTGTTCATAAGAAAGAGAGAGAAGGAGGGGAAACAAAAAGGTTCGGCCCCTAAACGTTCATCGAGTGTGGCTGAGTGGTTTCCTGAGGCCGGCACAAAGAAAACTGTAAAGCCATAAAATCTTCCTAACGCTCTGAGAGACGGACGTGTGCTGCTGGCTGCTGTCACACAGACAAACACTGAGCCATTGATCTAAAGACACGATTTCACTGTGTTACTTATAAGTAATCCAAAATCACAGCGGATATGTAGAGGTCTTAAATATTAATTATTAATCCACTTCTGCTTGTGGTTGTTTTGTGTATTTACAATTTTTTCGCAATCTTGATTTGAATTTTAGATGACAGTCAACACTTGAGAGATTTTAGTTAAGACCATCCCATAGTTTTGCACCTAATATGGATAAGCTGTGTGATGTTCTGTAGAGCTTTCTACACAAAGTGTTAGTTTGCCTAGACGGGTACTTGCTGACTTCTATTTGGAACTGCTTTTGTACATGAGGAGGTATTTTGTTGTGGAAAATATTGTGCATCACCAGGGCAGTTTTAACACATTTTAATAGATTTCGCATGTTCACATTTTCCTACCCCACATATTGTTCTTATTATATTTTTTTGTGATACAATTATTTTTTGTAGATTTGTTATGTACGTGTTTCCCCATATAACTCTCTATTTAAACAGAGAACCAGGGAACCAATGAGATGCTACAGTCGGCCCGTCTGTGGAGGCAATAGTGAAATACTGTTTACCTCCAAGAAACCAGTCAGCTACAGGAACACTATGTCTGTTTCTGATCACAACATTCGTCTGGAGTCACGCTCCTCCCCCCACATCATATCACCTCCAGCAGAGGTCAGGCCAGGACTCAGAGAGTAGAATGAGGAGACAGTGGACATCACACACACACACACACACACACACACACACACACACACACACACACACACACACACACACACACACACACACACACACACACACACACACACACACACACACACACACACACACACACACACACACACACACACACACACACACACACACACACACACACACACACACACACACACACACACACACACACACACACACACACACACACACACACACACACACACACACACACACACGTACCCATTACTACAGCTGTTACTGAGCAATGTATTTTTACTGCACATTCTTCTAAACAACATGTACTTTTACTACACAGCATGTAGTATTACTCTGCAACATGTAATTTTACTGCACAACATGTACTTCTGCTGAACAGACTAAGCCCTATACACATACACAGTCAATTAACCAATGCAATCACTGAAACTGAAATATGAAGCAGTTGGAAAAGAGTCTATGCACATCCAAAGCCAAAGAGCTGAAGTATAAGGTGGCATAACTAAGGAAAACAAAAAGTGATCAATCATATAACATTCACAGATTAATTAAAACAAGTTACAGAAAAGAGTTTAGGCTTCTGGTAAATGGTTAATGTTTTTGTTTAGGAGTAATGGCAGCTGTTGAACACATGAGGGCGGCAGACATCATATAATGAACATTTCTGATACACTGTAAAATAAGTATTGTGTGTTTTCATCATGCACCTTCATTATATTCTTTTTTATGGATAATAAGAAAATAATGGTTCTTCAGAGAATTACAAAACAAAATGATATATTTCTTTATTTTTCAAGATTCAAGGCAACATCGTGACATGAAACCGTGATGAAAATGTTTTTTATTAACATATTTACTGCTGGGAAGTTGCCAAGTGATCAATAAAGTTTAGCCTATGATAACCTATGATAAATTGATGATCCTTTTTTGTATTATCAATGAGAAACATCAAAGTTAGCAGTGCAGTAAAAAGATCAATATTTAGTGGAGTTGAAGAGGAATGTTTTGTTGTTGATTTATCATAGTTTTCACTGTATGTGTTTGCTTTATGCTTTGTTCTGTATCATTTGTGTATCTATTTTTTTATTTTATATATATTAAAGTCTTATTAAAGTCTACTGAGAGCATGTTGCATGACGGATTTTGCACTATAAATCAAATTGATGAATGAAAACTACAATAAAAAAGGAGAAATATCTGTTTTTAAAGTGGAGGAGATGTACAGTTTTCTGCAGAAATGTACACACAAGTATTGACTGTGGGATGTGCAGAAGCTAAAGAAACTAAACTGTCACATCATATTTTGCATGCATGGATGTGGACTCACATTTGACATGATGGACTCTCACATGTGTTTTAGAAAACAGGCCTCCCTAAAAACAAAGTCCATGTGTTATGTATGAGTGAGGTTAATGATTCACTGCAGAGCGGTAACATAAAGCTGCTTTCCCCTTCATCAATATATTTACAACGTGTTACAAACCATCTCTTGTTACTGTAAACATTGTTCCTTCAATTAAAGAATGTTAGTATAATCACAAAAATGTAAAGTATTAAACATATTGTAGAGTAAATGACATCATTAAATGTTAGTACTCATGATAAATGTAGTGGAGTAGGAAACAGCAGAAAAAAAAAGTAACTCAATAAAGTACTATGTAAAATACTTTAGTTAAAGGTAGGGTAGGTAAGTTTGAGAAACCGGCTCGAGATACACTTTTTGTTATATTCCATGGAATGCTCTTAACATCCCGATAGCAATGAATATCTTAAGTGCTTTGACAAAAAATCCATAAAAAAATGTCATCTGTGGAAGCCGTAATACTGTAAAAGTACGACCAATCATTTTAGCCGGCCCGGCTAAAATAACTGGATGGCCTACCTGCCTGTCAGCCTTCCATCGGGGCAAAAACTTATCTCGTGCCCTCATTGGTCATGTGCGCGTTCGTGTGTGTTGGAGGAGGGGCTCTGTAAGGAAGTGGCAGATTTTCTCCGGTTGTGTATTTTCAAATTCTAGCGATCTCGAGCCGAGGCCTGTACTACGAAGCTGGTTCAACCTAACCTGGATATGTTTGAGTTAGCCGGTTGGCCCAATCCAAAACATACGCGCTCTGGCTAAACTGTACTACGACGCTGGTTATCAAGTGGATCGCTCAAGCCAGCCGTGTCCTATCTAGTTAGGTGCGCGTTCACATGAAAGGGGTGGTATTTGGAGCATTCGACCAATCACAAACATGGACAAGAGTACTGACAGCGCAGCGTCATACTTCCTGAATGAAAAGTGAACTTTAATATTAGTCAAATATGAATAAGTTAAACTTTAAACATCCATGACTTAAACACTTTATCCAGGATAAAAGCCACATAGCTGCACCTGCAAGGTGAATACAGCTGGTAAAAGAAAAAGTGTTTGAATGCGTACATTAACAGGTTTATGAAATCACTGCCAAGACACGAGTGGATCTGACTTTAATTAGGAGAATTTGACTCGAGTGTTTCATCAACTTAATGTGTTGCTTAAAATAATACTTCTGCATACAGTATGTGACACTGTGAGTGTTGCACGGCCAGATACGGCTCAAGAAGCTGACTCAAATAAGGAAATATATGATACATTATGATGTGATATGATATGAATGATAATGGGACACATCGACGTCTGCACTCACAGTGCCGCGGACTGTACTTAATGTTACTCTGATCCGGTTACTTATGTCGTGGCAGATATTTAAGTAAGCTTTCTTAACGCTAATATTATAATAGTCAGATTGCTCTGAAGATGGGAGGGGATATTCTATTAATTTTCACGTTCACACAGTCAGTTGATTTTGGCCGGCCGTCTTTCCTTCAACGGCAGTTTTTCTGTATTTCCTCTATCCTGTAATATGAATTGATCGCTTTAAACTCCGCACACGGAGCTCTGATTGGTCAGCAGGCGGTGCTTTCACTGAGTTGATCTCTTAGCCTGCCACCTAACCTGCTCCGGAGCAGGTTTGCCGCTCAGCATAAGTTACCATGGAAATCTAGCCTGCTAAAAAGAGAACCAGCGTCGTAGGACCGGAAAGCCCGAGATTTCTCTGAATTTAGCCGGCTAAGCGAAAATCCAGCTTCGTAGTACAGGCCTCAGGCCTCCGGTTTCTCAAACGTACCTACCCTACCTTTAATGTACTGTGATACCTTCAAACAACAACGTTTTGATTATTAACAACTTAACCAAACTTTGACGCTGTAAACAAACGTTGGAAGGTTCTTTTTCCCTGCCTTTTCTGTTTCTAGTTGATGAAAGTCTAAAGTTTAAATATTTTAACACATAAGATAGGAGGTTTTAAGTGTCATTTTGTGTCACTTTGCAGCGTTTTTGTGTATCATTTTGCCCATCTTGTGTCTCTTTGTAGTCTTTATTTGTCACCATGTAGTAATTTGTGTCATTTAGTGTATCTTTGCGGCCATTTTGTGTGTCTTTGCGTCATTTTGTGTGTCCTTTTGAATCTAATGTTGGGTCACTTGGTAGTCAGTTTGTGTATCTTTGTGGCCATTGTGTTTCTCTTTGTTTTCATTTTGTGTATCCTTGTATTTGTTGTATCTCTTTGTTGTCTGTTGGTGTCTCTTTGTATTTGTACTGTGTCTCCTTTTAGTCACTTTGTGTGCCTCATTTTGTCTTTTTGTTGTCATTTTTTTCACTTTGTGGTCCTTTTGTGTCTCTCTGTTGTCATTTTGTTTACTTTGTGGTACTTGTATGTCTCTTTGAAGTCATTCAGTCTCATTATTGTGGCCGTTTTGTCACCATTTTGTCTCACTTTGTAGTCATTTTGTGTTTCTTTGTACTGTGTTTATGCATCTTTGTGGCTATTTTGAGTCTCATCCTGGTTACTACATGTCTATGAGTGACATTTGGTAACTGAAGGCCAGAAGGGCCACTGTTACTTTGAACCCTTTGGCGCCTCAGGACTATTCAGTAATCCATCCTTTTAGCACCAAACAGCCTTCAGGTAATAGCACCCCCCAACAATACATAATAGATAGACTTCCTCTGTCACATGCTGAATTATTGAGAGAGGCTGCGGGCCAATAAGAGCTGCACTCACATGATGAAGATTAGTGTTGTTTCATCAGGAGAAATGCTCCGGTCCGCAGAACATCCGGAGGAGGCAGAGTGCTGTAGGATAACAAAATTAAAGTGAAAATATGAAAAAAAATGGTTCCTGGTCCAATTTTTATCAAATAAAGTAGTTGGATATCTTTTTCAGATTCTAAGCACAACAGAAAGTAAAAGCCATTAATGAAAAGTGGGTAAAACCAGAAAAACCCAGAGCTGATGATTGGATAAGAATAATATATGATTGATTTAGGATGGAAAATACTTTTTTCTATTGGTAGGAACAAATATTTATAAGATTGTATTATTTATTTTATTTTACACATTATTATTATTCAATGTTGAAATGTCTTAAGTTTTGTATGTAATTTATTGGTCTTTATGTGCTTCTATATTGGCTATTTTACATGATATAACTTACTAATAATTATTAGAAAAATAGCAATTATCGCTACTAATAGGGTGTATTTAAAAATATAAATAAATCTAAAAATATGTACTATGTTTATGTATGCTCAGTTTTTATATTTGCCAAACACATTACGTCAGCGTAAAATTAATGAATATTATCACGGTGACGAACCGGCAGGATAACAACAGCAGTGTGGTTAGGTTGTTATTGGGTGTAAATCTGCTTGACTCCTCTCACCGGCGATGTCTCCGAGCAGTAAAACAAGCGCACTAAAAACTTTAAACGCTTCAGCCAATCAGCGCTTCTCTAGTATCTGAGCAGACCAATCAGCAGCGCGTTCTCCTTTGTTGTTGGTGATGACATGAAAATATTGTTGTTGCTTGTTTGGGGGCTGCGGACACAGACAGACAGGGAGCACCGGGTTTGAAAGCTTCACAGGCGTCGACCAAGCTCAGATTTGATTCATTTTGTCTTACTTTTGATTTTTAGGCAACTGCGTGTTGCGAAGAAAGCGGTCATGTCGGTGAATATGGACGAACTCAGACATCAAGTCATGATCAACCAGTTTGTTTTGACGGCTGGATGCGCCGCGGATCAGGCGAAGCAGCTCCTCCAGGCGGCCCACTGGCAGTTCGAGGTGAGGCTAAAAAGCGTTTTTAGTCTACTTTAAAATAATGTCCAACTACGTTTTGTAACATCTAGCTGTTAACGAGCTGTCAATACACGAATATCAACTCCCAGTATTGTCTATTTGGACGATTGTGTGGCTTTAGGACCCGCTGTGGCTAACAGCGGCTTAGCTAACAGGACTGAGGACGTGGTGCTCGACTCTAGTGGCCGTTTTTTTGTTTACATTTTCGGTAGGAATCCACCGTGTCATTGTGGTGCTAATTGTTGTTAGCTTAGCTGCTAGCAGCCTCCATAAACATTAACGTCGCTCCTGCTTATTGTTTTAGGAGCTACTAGGGTTATATAATCCAAAACCTAATATCCGCTAACATTATACAATCATTAAGATTATGACACATGGTGCATTCAAGTGCTCTTCCTGATTTGGGAAGTCGTTTTTTCAGACTTTGGTGTGTTCTTAAGTAACTAGTAATGTGTAAACAACATGGACGCTACAAAGATTGCGTTTTTGTTATTACTCAGAGAATTAGAATTTATGTGAGACTTTTTCCCACTGGTCATTGAAATCTTGGAAAGTTTTAGATTTTCAGGGGCCTTGAACGTTTTTGAAAGTAGACAAGAATGTATATATTTTGTGCAAGAATAGAAATGTAAGTTATTTTAATATTTGTCATTGGATAGTCGAATTGCCATGTTGTTCAAAAGATGGTGTGTTCATGAGCTTTAAGTCGTTATGTTGAAACACCATTGAGATTGTTGTTAGTGTTGTACATGGTTTCACTGGCACTTACAATCCTTATAGGTTGGACATTTTGAAAAAAATAAGATTAAAACCGTTATTTATTTATTTTTTAACATGAGCCATTTAAAAATCCTAAATGTAAACATTATGTTCAAGAATAGAAATTCGAATGTATTGATATTTTATGTAAGCTTCTGTAAAGCCTGCTATCACTGATGTAGCTGTATGTAACCTTGACTCATGTCTCAAACTCTGTCCATGAATTGGAGGAATTTGGGCCTGAAAAGTCCTAATCAACAAATCAAGAAAAGTTCCTGAAAAACATAGTTTGACTGAGTGTTAGTGGACTGATAATGTATTTAGTTGACAACAGTCCTAACAATGAAACTAAAACACTTGGCTCAAACCCAAAAGCCTGATACATGCATGTAAAGTGGGGAAAGCAGGAGGAAACAAGGTAGTATTGTTTGTGTCCTCTGTGAGAACGTAGTAAACTCACTATTGTTCGTGTTGCTGTGACATCATTGGCCTGATTTTTCTCCGTATTGTCATTCAGAAAGAGAACAAAACAGACTGTATTGTAACTAAATGCTAAAAAAAAAACATTAAGCCGTCTGGATAGATAAGGCTGATTGTGTGACATTGAATGCAATATTATCTCCTTTTTGCATGTCCATAATAAACACACTTTTATTTGAGTAATATGGCAGGGTGTTTAAGACATTTGTAGTTACATTTGAAAAAAATAAAGAGTCGAGGGAAGTTAAATTCCAAGAAAGAAACTCCGATATCCTATGATGTTAAATAGTACATTTACAAGAAAATAAAATCCAAAATGTAACATAAAAAATGACCGGATGAGGTTGATGTGTTTACTTGACACAAAAGGAGAACGTCAATAGACACAACAAACCTAATTGCACATCTTAACAAACATTCAACAAACATTTTAAGTGTGTTGGTTGCTGCTAGAAGGTATTTTTTACTTCCTGTGAGTCTTACTTGCAAATGTAGCTAACTGGCATTCGAACAAAATGTGTAGACGGAGACATCAGAGGTGCAGTATAATGTTTTATACATATGTGGCATTGGCTAAAGACTTACATGCAGGTGGGGGTAGAGCATGTGGGGGTGAAGAGTCTGCAGGAAGTGATCACAGCTGATGAGGGAAGTGTAAACAGCTGAGATGGGTGGGGCCGGTGAGGAGGAAAGGGGAGAGTTTTCTTTTTTTTTTACTTTAACAACCCAGTCAAATTACAATGCATTAGACATTACAATACAGAGTACAGGGAGTATTGTGCAAGAAAATAAATGCTAATTCATCAACAAACACATCTTAAAGAAGTAAGGAATCAACCAGCAACAATGTCTGTCTTTAAGTAATAACATTTCAGAAGTTTAACATGAAAATGAATTTGAACTGAAGTTTTCAGGAAGAGTAAATACATCTGGCCTTGTGAATACATTATAAAGTTACAAAAGTGAGTTTTCTTTATACAACACAAACATACAGTGCTCCTTTTTTTAAGGACCTGTGATCACAAAATAATAAGTAGAATGAATACATAACCCCCTAATCTTTCCCACAGTTAAACATTTACTAAATACCTAACTGTTGAGCTAATGTGTTCCAAGCTAAATACTTGATGACTGTAGATAAACCATATTTTCACCACACATTAAATGAAATCTGCCTTAAAGTAACGTTCAAAGACACCCCGGTGAACTCAGTTGCGGGTTTAGTCACACGGCATGGTGTTTCCAGCAGCAGGAAGTGTGAAAACATTTCGAGGTCCTGAGAAATAAAGTGAGCGGAGACAAAAAAACACAAAAGCTGTGAGGGCTGTGACGCTTTGAGATGTGTGTCACGTTGTACGGCAGACATTCCTGCTCCGCTGCGGCTGTTGTCAAAGAACCAGAGCGTGGGAGGAGGGGGAGAGGGCGGGGGAGGCTGGGGAGGGAACCACTGCATTCATTGAAGTGTTAGAGTGAAAGAGGCCTCCGCTGCAGGGAAATGGAAGCTACGCTGAGCCGTGAAACAAGCTCACACTGACGGATAAAACATGGTGCAGACTGTCAACATTCACAGGGTTTAATATCACATTTGAACTAAAGATAACCGCTACAAGCAACACTGCTGCTAGGGGTGCATACCGGTTCCCCGTATTACCGAAATACCTGTTACTGGCGGCTACGGTATATCGTACCGAAATCAGATCCGGTTTTTGATACTTTTTTCTTTTTTTTTATAAAAGTGAGGCGTAATATCCTTAAACTCGCGCCCAAACCGTCGGAATTACGATGTCAATTTCGCCGTGAAACTCCTCAAACGAGTCACTTTAGAAAATCTAACGTGTGGCTGCATATGACTGCCAGAAGTTTATTTCTGGGAAAGGTGGCAACACATCCAACCTCCAACCAATGCTGTCTCGTATGGCAACCAAGTAGTGATGTGTCGGTCGCGAACGAGCCGATTCTTTTGAACGGCTCTTTGGTACGAACGAGGGGAACCGAGTCGTACTTGGTGAGAGCCGTTCTTGTTGTCGTTCAATCGTTGGTCCGCACTCACTGCCTGCCAAAATCCACTCGCCTTTTAAAAAGCTTGATTTTGTTCCCCAAACTTATTCTGTGAAGACCCGCCCCTACTCTGATTGGTAGGTTTCAGCACGAGGAGTGAGATGGGGTGGGTCTTAACGGAATACGCGAGAGAGAGAAGTCATAACAAGTGGTACAGGACAGGTAGACGACGTGTTTTTCGGATGGAAAATGAGCCAAACGCGAAAACGCAGCAGCATTTGGATGCACTTCAACCAAAACGCAGGCAGTGATAAAGTGCACCATTTGTAAAGGCAAAATATCCTTTAAAGCAGGGTCAACAAATAATCTCTATCGCCACTTCAAAACACAGTAGGCCTATCTAATATTAAGAGTTGCGTGAATTTCATTCAAGGCAAGGCAACTTTATTTACTTAACACATACAGAGGGTAAATTCAAAGTACATTCACTGACATGAATGACATGGATATGGCACCACCTTGTGTCATGTTTACAATGCAGATTATTGACATTAGGTCTGGCAATATAGTCAATCATTATCCTGGTGATTTATTTTGCAGATAAACCCAGTAACCCCGTAAAAAAAACGGCTCTTTTGAACGGCTCTTTGAAAGGAACGGAGCCATAAGATCCGGCTCCCTTCAAAGAGCCATAATTCCCATCACTACAACCAAGTACCTTTGTGTTCAGGGAAGCAGCGTGCCAAGCGAGAGAGTGTTCAGTTCAGCAGGTGATATCCTACGCTGTGAAAGGGCTCGTTATGCTGATATGCTCATCTTCTTGAAGATGAATGCACAAAACTGTGATGGGATTTGTTTTCTTTCATCAGGCAAATGTTGATTTGAATGATGCTATTTGTTTTATGTGCAATGCCGAGATCTCATGATCCTTTGTGTGTTCTCTGGTCAGTCGAATCTCAGGTTGAATATTGATTATACTGGTGCTATTTTCTTTTTGCATTGACAAGATGTACTATTCCCGCCTGATGGTTGTTATAAATGATATTGCAGAATCTGTTTTAAATGTTTGTTCAGTACTAAAAGGTCCATGTCCCACAATTGAATTTAATATTCATTTGACATGTTAACTACATCATAAAGCGCTTTATGGGAGTAATTGCGGGATGATTCAATTTTTCCTTTATGCAACATGAAAGTATCACGATATGTATCGGTTGAGTATCGGTATCGTAAAAAAGTCAACGATATGCAACCCTAACTGCTGCTGCAGCACAACAGTTTGATGCTAAATTATCACTTATTACATTCTAACCATAAACTCTTGAAGATTTGTTTTCCTTTTATGCTTCGTAGATGAATGAAGTTGTTAGAAAAAGTACTTTTTTAAAACATTTCTCAAAATGCTGTGATCCATTATGACACACATTCCAAAACAACATAGACAACAGATATAAAAAAAAGTTCAACCTTTACAATTTTTTTTAACTGTGATTGGAATGATGTTTAGCTATGTTGATGAATTGCCTATTTTTTGCCTTTATTTTTCCATAATGATTTCTCTTCCTGTCTTTATACACCAAAGTGAATTCCACGTGAAAATCCACTTGACAAAGAACTTTGTTTTGATTCTGATTATTAAAAAGTCAACAATCACTCACCAACTATTTAAACATTAATATTTACATGTACAAAAACAAACTGGCATTCAATGTGATTGCAAGTGGACAATACATGTAGGCATTGTTACATTCGATAATAAAGTGCATGATGCAGGGTCTGTAGATATTAGATTATCTACAGACCTTGTCCCTGTGCAAAGAAATCTCTTCTAATGCAGATAACAAACTGGTTGTTAGTTAAAGGTGGGGTAGGTAATTTTGGAGAAACCGGCACGAGATCGCTAGAATTTGAAAATACACAACCGGAAAAAATCTGCCACTTCCTTACAGAGCCTCTCCTCCAACACACACGAAAGCGCACATGACCAATGAGGGCACGAGATAAGTTTGTGCCCCGATGGAAGGCTGACAGGCAGGTAGGCCATCCAGTTATTTTAGCCGGGCCGGCTAAAATGATTGGTCGTACTTTTTACAGTACTACGGCTTCCACAGATGACATTTTTTTATGGATTTTTTGTCAAAGCACTTAAGATATTCATTGCTATCGGGATGTTAAGAGCATTGCATGGAATATAACAAAAAGTGTATCTCGAGCCGGTTTCTCAAACTTACCTACCCCACCTTTAATGTCCCACACTGATTAGCTTATCCCCAAAGAATCACATGTTTCCTTTGATCCACATGAGGAGTACTCAGCTTTTTGTTTCTGTTTCTCAGAGATTGCCAAGTGTTTGTTCCCTCTGAGGAACAAAACACTTCCTGGTTTGTGCATGAGGCAGCTGTTTTATAGTCTAACCCTGCCTCAGCACAAGACTACTTGTTGTTTTACGCTTCAGATCATTATTATCTTCTTTCAAAAATATGATTAGCTGTAGATCACTTGTATTAATTCTGCTTTATTTGAACTCACATAGAAACTAGTTAAACTATAATATATTAACACAAGTTCTGTTTCTTTGACTGTTTTCAGTCAGAAACGTTGGTGTGAAACATGCAGATTAAGAGGAAGTTGTGTGTAATTGAGCTTCCTGTTATCAGTGATTCAGTTAGCTCAAAGCTAATCTAAGAAACCCTCCTGTGCTCTGCAAAGTGTTTCAGATCTCTGAGTGGAGATAATACATTCAAATCCAAGCTCATGTGTTTGCTGACTGATAAAGATGACGTCTTTTGGGGAGAATTACAAACATGTACATTATTGGAATAGGTATACACAGGGTTCTTACGGTCATTAAAAACCTGGAAAAGTCATGGAAATTCAAAATGCAAATTCCAGGCCCTGGAAAAGTTATGGAAAAGTCATGGAAATATAACCAAAGTTGCATCAAATATAATTTATATTGTATCTAATCGCCGAAATAGTAATACTATAACGATAATAAATACTGTATCGTATAGTAATGAAACGTAAAATGGCATTTAACTGTCGAGGTATTTTGCTGGTGAGAGATTTTTACAATCACGCCCTAGTCTAGTCTACAATGGCTTTAGCCTGTAGGAGCTAGCAAGCCTAATATTTGTTTTAGATAGGCACAACATGTTTCATATGCAGACCTTATTTTCCAGCTTACCATGTTAAAATAAAAATGTTTCAGTGGTACCGCTGAGAAAGAGTACTTTTATTGGTCATGGAGAAGTCATGGAAAAGTCATTGGTGAAAAAGTGTATGAACCCTGTATACAGATCCTTAACTTAAGTAAAACACTAATACACCACTGTTAAAATACAGTAGACATTGGAAAAAGCCTCTATTCATAACAAACATTGAATACAATTATATATTTAAATGTAGATGTTATTTAATTTGAATAAATCACAACAGTCTCTTCTCTCTTTCTCTGCAGACGGCCTTAAGCTCCTTCTTCCAGGAGGCCAACATCCCCCCTCACCACCACCAGATGGTAAGTCCATTTATTCCCCTTAAAACATAATCCCTCGCAGTGGACAGATGAACCCGCTGACCTGCTGCTCGCACACTCACTGCTCTGGAAAACAGGCACAGAAAGAGCCGTTGTATTGATAATAGCAGCAGTTTAACACCATTTGAGTTCTTTACTACGCATGGAGAAAATCTATCAAAAGAGGTTAAACCAAACCAACATGCGCAGAGTTTAGAATACAGGACTATCATATGATATAAATATATATAGTCAAATGAAATAATATTGCGTTTTATAGAAAATATGTAAACTGCAGCATGTGTATCAGTGTGTTAAACATAATAGTATGTTTGTGATTTAGCGCCCACTCAGTGCAATTCACTTATAAACCACTGTCCTAGGTAGGGTAGGTAAGTTTGAGAAACCGGCTCGAGATCGCTAGAATTTGAAAATACACAACCGGAGAAAATCTGCCACTTCCTTACAGAGCCCCTCCTCCAACAAACACGAATGGGCACATGACCAATGAGGGCACGAGATAAGTTTGTGCACAGATGGAAAGCTGACAGGCAGGTAGGCCATCCAGTTATTTTAGCCGGCCCGGCTAAAATGATTGGTCGTACTTTTTACAGTGCTACGGCTTCCATAGATGACATTTTTTTATGGATTTTTTGTCAAAGCACTTGAGATATTCATTGCTATCGGGATGTTAAGAGCATTCCATGGAATATAACAAAAAGTGTATCTCGAGCCGGTTTCTCAAACTTACCTACCCTACCTTTAATATAGACAGCTGTAAGTTTACACATGCATTTATCTTTACAATATTTATCGCATTTTTTGAAAGAAAAATCAGGAGAAAATGTACTTTGTTTTAGACACCATTTTCTGGTTTGTCTGTGTCAGCAACACACTCAAGATCTGGCTAGACTGAGCGTAAAGGTTTCGACAACTGTGTCAACATTTTCAAATGACTTCAACTAACGTTCATGTACATACTAGCTAGCTAATATTCATTATGCTAAATGTTAGTTAAATATCTAATACGAGTGAAATCAAATATGAATACATTTAACTGTGCCCCTTTAGTAGACATGAAATTCAAAACATTACATTCCTCAAGGATACCAGTCCGGCTAACTGAGCTAACAGCTAACTAGCAGCTACTGCTAGCGGTTAGCTTGACTTTAGCAACAAATACAGCTGTGTGACCCTCAGGAAACTCCATGAAAAAGAAAGTTGAGGCAGAGCAGCTGGAGCACATCAGAAACATTAAAACAAAATACATTATTTTACATCAAATATTCTCAAGTTTGAACAAAATCAACTTAGTGACATTAAAGCCCAGGGTTCGCCAAAGTGGGAATTAAAATGATTTAAAAGCTTTATTTTTTAAACTGTAAAATGGTTACATAATGTGGCTTTATGCTTTCTAAACAGGCAGAGTCAAGTTAGTTTGTTTCTGTTGAATGCTCGGTAATCCCACCCCCTCCGAACTACCCACAGTGAACACGTTACTGTGTTTGAAGGTTGAAGGGCACTTTGGACTCTTTTGGAGCGTCTGTGTTTGACATTTTCTGTCCGTTTGGCTGGATTTCACATTTGTCTTATAAAACTTATGTTCATTTCGCTTCTAGGCAGGAAATTAAATTTAGAGTGAAACACATCACACAGGGCGTGTCAGACTCTCACAGGAACAATAAGTCTGTGTGCTGTAAAGAAGGGAGTGTGTTGCTTGCTATTTCATCTTTAATTACACTGCCACACAATAATCACTCATTCACAAGACAAAACGCTGAATGAAGGAAATCATTATTCTGTGGCAAACGCTGTGTACTCAACTGCATTCAAGTACACGTTTGTTTTTTACATCCTTATGTCCAGAAGTATAATCAACACATTTTACTTAAAGTATCAAAAGTAAAAGTACTCACTATGCAGAATAGCTATTATAGAACAGTATTATTCTGTTGTATCACTAAAAAATACATCTTATATAATTGTAATGTTCGTCATTGTTGAGCCAAGTTATTTAAAAAAAAAATGGGTAGATAAGTATTTCAGTACTGATCATATTATATCAGCATATCGTTCCACTCCATAATTAATTGAAGTCTAAAGTAGCATAAAACTCAAATATAAGTACGTCTAAATAGTACTTAAGTCCAATACTCCTCCTCTTCCTCCTCTCGTGTGTGTGTACGTGCCGGTGGCTCGCTCTAGGCGGAGCGTGTTGGAGCTTGTAAGGAAGGAGGAGGAAGTGTGTGAGAGTCGATGGGTTTGTTATTATTTTGGGTGCAGTGCGGTGACATCATCTCGCCTGAGGCTCCGCTGTCTGTGTGTGTTTGGAAGAATACAGCTGCAGAGGTCTGAGAGAAAGAGTGAAGCAACTGAACTCGGGGGGGGAGCATCAGCTGCAACACACGCACACACACACACACACACACACACACACACACACACACACACACACACACACACACACGGCTTCTCGGGCCCCGTGATCATTGTTGCAGCATTAATGAACCTTTGATGAAAGATGATGAGCTGAACTTTGTCCCACTCTTCCTCATGCACAGTCGAAAAGGACAACTGTAAAGACAAAATAAAGTCCTATTGATTTATGAATAAGTGTTTCATTAGGATGACTCAGAGGTAAGGCTGCACAATACGAGTAGAATATGCCATCATATTGAATGAACTGAGAGGTGTTAGTGTGCTTAGTTCTGCTTCCTTCACTACAAATGGATTATTGAATTCAAACATGAAAGGACATTTTTTCAAACTCTTTTACTGAAACAGATAAAAGTCAAGTTTTTTACTGATCATCTATTTAAACTCCCTTCTTAAAAAATACATTTTAAACATTGCAGTCTTTCACAATGTAAAACATATTGTGGACAGAAATATGGGAATTTCCACCTACATTTATGATCATTTTAGAAAGTATAAGGGTAGATGTAGCTATGTCATAGTTATGCCATGATAAATAAAACAGACATGTGTCAAACTGTGATGTAAAGATATTTAAGAAGTATAATAATAAACTAAATGAAATAAAAATAAAAACGGATTCTTAGTTTACTTCGATAACATAATGACATCATGATGTAACACTTGCGCTTCTTTGGCTAGCGCTCCAACACATTGTACGTGATTGGCTAAGGGGCGGGACATGTCTAAGCTGTTGACCAATCACACCAGAGCCGGGCAGCTAACCAATCAGAGCAGACTGGTTTCTGGTTTCAGACAGAGGGTGAAAAGAGGTGCTGCAGTATGAGAAAAATAAAGAGCTGTTTGAACATGAAAACATGTCAAAGTAGAGGCACAAGATACAAATATGAAGCTGAACTGACTTTGAAATGTAATAAAAAGGTCAGAGTTAAAGCAAAGATACAAGGTTTAATACAAAAAATGCACTTTTGGTAACGGACCCTGGTAGAGAGAGTGAAGTGTTTTGTGTTGGCATGTAGAAACATGTATTACAGCAGTAAACAGCCGAGTGTTGATTTTGTCAGAAGCATCTTTACTGTGTGTGTGTGTGTGTCTGTGTGTGTCTGTCTGTGTCTGCGTGTGTGTTCTGAACATAACAGCTGAGAGAAGCCTCCTCTATTTCTGTCTGCTATCTGATCTGTGTGTGTGTGTGTGTGTGTGTGTGTGTTTAAATGACTCTTTAATTGATGTTCTCTCTGAAGACGTTTGGCATTTAGAAGTCACACACAGATCACATGTTTGTCCACAGTTAGATGCTAAAGCAGTCTGCAGTGTCGAGTAACAGATGCTTTCAGGATTTCTTTACTGATAATTCAATCAGAGGTTTCCTCTTTTAGAATTTGAAAATGATATTGACTTAAGCCTATTTTCATTTCATTTAGATACCTTTTTTAAAAACTGATGCATTAAGCAGAGATTAAGTTATCAGAGCTGCAGGGAAAAACAATCATTTTTAACATGACCCGGTTTTATTCAGTGTTTTAATCACCTAAAGAGACCCTAGTGTTACATTACATACATGTTGTGTTTCATATTAGTATGTAGTGTATCTACTGTGACATGTCTCCATGCTTTAATGTTCAAAAAGCTCTTTATGTTTCTCATACTGCCTATGCTGCAACACCTCTTTTCACCCTCTGTCTGAAACCAGAGCCCAGTCTGCTCTGATTGGTTAGCTGGCCGGCTCTGTTGTAATGGGTCAATCGCTTGGAGATGTCCCGCCCCTTAGCCTATCACGTACAATGTGTTGGTGGGCTGGCCAATAGAAGTGCAAGTGTTACATAGTGATGTCACTGTGTTACGAAAGTAAACAAAGGAGTCGTAGAGCCTCGTAATAGAGGCGTTTGAGACGGGGGAATTGGCAAAACATTCAAGAATTTATTTTGTAGTATATATGTTGTTTTTACATCTTTGAGGTTGTTTCTAATTTAATTTCATATAGTTTATTATTGTACTTTACCTCTTAGATATCTGCACATCACAGTTTGACTTCACGTCTATTTGGTTTATCATAACATGACTCGGGCTACTTCCACCCTAAATCTTCCAAAGTGTGTGGGTGAGAAACTCCCTCTGGAGGGAGCTTTGGGATTTTAGCCTTTGCAGACCATTTACATGCACAAAAACCTAAAGAACACACTACAGGAGAGGGAGAACCTCAAAAAGCATAATGGGGCCTCGTTAAATAAAAGTTTAGACCTACCTTTTGCTTACTCCTTTCTCTTGTGTGCGTCCCGCAGATGTGTACTCCCAGGAACACGCCCGCTACGCCACCCAACTTCCCGGACGCCATCACCATGTTCTCCAAGCTGCGTGCGTCTGATTGCGGCCCCGGGTCCGGCAGCGGTTCCTCCATGGCGTGCTCCCCACCGACCCCCTCCTCCAGCTACGGCTCCTTCTGGGCGTCCTCACCGCCCAGCCACCAGCCCGCCTGGCTGCCCCCATCGTCGCCAACAGGCCCCCACCTGCACCACCACTTCCACCACCACCACCTGCAACAGACTCCCATGTGGCCCCCTGGCGCCCAGCCCAGCGCCGCCCCACAGCCCCCCGTCGTGTCCGCGCTGCACGGCCAGAGATGAGACTGAACGGGGAGGAGGGGGGCTGGTCAAGGAGCCAAATGTATGGGGAGGGTGGTGTGGTGGGGGGGGGGGGGGGGGGGGTGGGGGGGCGGGGGGTCCATGTGTGGAATGAGAGGAAATGGAAAAAGACAAAAATACTGTTTTCCTGTCTCGTTTTTCTAAACCGAAGACTTCCTCTCCGTCTTCATCACACGCCGAGGAAACGAACATTCTTTTTCATCCGGGATGCAAATCGAGCCCAGGACCCAGCAGAGCGCTCCGAGGATAGCAGCCATGTGATCTCATTTTTTATCTTTTAAAAACTCTTCTTCTTCTTCAGATGGTTCGGAAATATCTGGCAATAACCAGCAGAAAACAGACGGGATTCTAGATGTTTCCTTTACAGCGATGAAACTGCTCACAGAGAGATGCATCTACAGATGTCCTTTACCTGAGTCACACCACAGATTTAGCACAGGAATAAAACCTGCTAATCTTTGACCTTTTTTTTTAAAGAAACAACGACCTGGATGACAAAATCTTCTTTCTGCTGCATATTAAGAAAGATGTTTCCTGAACTTTCATCCTTTTGTTGCGGTTTCCTGATCCAAACAAGGTGTTGCTTTATTTCTACGACGTGTAAACAAAATAGAAAATTGTAATGATCAGTTTGATAGAGAGCCTCTGTTCCAACTATGTAACTAGAATGCAATTTATATTTCAGTGTTTTTCTTTTATTGTGACAATATCAGGCGAGTTCCAGGAGTTTATTTTCCGAATTTAAAATGGAAACAAACTAAAACAGAGTGGTAGTGACTAATCTAGAAAAATAATCGCCAACTATTTTGATAAATAGTTGAAGTGATTTTTCATGCAAAACTGTCAGAAAATACTATTTTCAGCCTCTTAAATATGTAGATTTGCTGATTTACTGTTTTATATCATAATAAAATAAATATCTTTGGGTTTTTGGACAAAGCAAGACATATATTTGGACTTTGAGAAACTGGTATGTACATTTTTTCACATTATTTAACATTTTATAGACGGATAAATGAATGAATCCAGAAGATACGATTTTTCTGTTCAAATGTTTTTGTTAAAGGTTGCTATAAACAGAAACATAAAAGCAATATTAGGTAATTTGGGAAATCATAATTACTGTCATTATTTAACATATTAAGTGAACCACACTACGTACTGTTGAGGTCAGGTTATACATTGGCTTCCAATCGGAATGTTTTTATATTTGAATACAAAAGTTAATGTGTCTTGTGTGGTCAAAACAGATAACGGGCATATTTCTGACTACCTGGATCCTTAACAACAGTCCTATGTTTGGGATAAACAATCTTTTATGTTGCAGCAGACAGAATATGATTTAATTCAGATGGACAAAAGAGCGTGGAAGGTTTCAGTAAATCCCTTCAGAGACAGGAAGTGATTTCATGTTGAGTTGAATGGTTAAACGACAGTAGGAAATAACCTTTTGTAAAGTGCAAATATGATCGGTGAGTTAAGTAGAGCGGCAATCATTGAAATGTTTTGAGATCTGCCACATTTATAAAGTCTTTTTTCTCAGAATAATTTCAGACCTCCTGTCACGGGAGAGGGGTTATTAGGAGTCGACTCAGATCCATTTCCTGTTTATTGGTTATGAGGCGGTTTTGTACCACAGCATAATATGGCCATTGTAGGTAAAAAAATAAATAAAGGATGGGTAATGTTTTAAGAAATAATCTGGATTTCAGAGATTAAAACCTTATATTCACAAGATCAAAAAATTATCACAAATGAAGGAAACCTTGCCATGATTATTAAAGCATTAATTTGCGAGAAAAAACAGAAGTATAAAGCTCAGATTAAAGGCATTCTTTTACATTCTCAGAGAATGTTAGTTTTGGCATACATTTTTTACATTATACATTTTTTTTGTCTATTATTTAATCGTATATTCACTTTAATTTAGATAATTTCTGACTTTTGTTTACTTGAGAATTAGGGATTTTATTATCTAAAAATAAAAATTAAGTCTTTTTCTTGGAAAGGATGTTTTTTAATAATACATTCTTGTTTTTCTAATCGCTTTTCTGTAATAATTTTTCATAATTTTCCCATTTTAATGAGAGAATATAAAAAAAATGTTATCAAGTGAATTTACCACTTTAATCTCATAAGTATTCTTACTAAGTATCACCCTCCTTCCCTGGTTATGTCTTTTTTTTGTTTACCTACAATGGCTCTAATGGACAGTTTTGTAAATAAAACCTTCAGCTGAACGTTTTCTGTCACGCTGATGATAGATTTTGGAATATCTTTGTCCGGTGAGCTGCCTTGCCTGTCTGCGGGGGCATTTAGAGGCCAACCCAGTGATTTTCCACACAACCTTTGTGACGCTCAAACACTCCTACCTCTGTGTGGATGTGAGGCCCCTGAGCTCTGCCTGTACCCTCCGCTGCAGACGGGATCAGAGAGTTGAAACACGTTCAAACTGCTGCCGCTGCGGAAGAAGAATTTACAGCAGAGCTTCACAGCAGGCTAAACCCGGGATTTGTTAGCTGGCTCCCTCACACAGGATCCCACGTATGTCACAGAAACTCACCGGGAGAATAGTGAAACGTTTCAAAAAAGCAAGTTACCTTCACTACACAAGAAAGAGGATGCAGGACTTTGTTGTTCACAGCTTCACACAGACAATCAACCTTCCTCTGTTTTCTGTAAGATTTCTGATGGGTTCCTTTGGGGGGGGAGGGCTTCACTTTTAAAGCTGTTACATCCTTTCAAATTCAACAACCTGATAAGATTATATTTCAAATCTGATACAGAAATGAAAATTCACCCTGATGTGTTTTTACTCCTCTGGGCTCTGTTTGTCCTGCCAGTCTTTCTCTCTTCTTCTCTCCTCATAAAAGGGAGTTTTTTGTAGGTGAGGGAGGATTTTTCCTGCAAATCAAAGGAGTTGAGAGGAATGCTGGATGTGTCAAATGTGACGGAGGAGTTTTTTGTGAGAGGACTAGTCATCCAATTTCGTTTTTGATGGAACGAGTTGCAGGTTGTGGAGGTGTTTGTGCCGACGGGGAAGAATTTGTCGGAGCTTCCTGCAGGGTTCAGGCTTATTATGGATCATTTAAAAACAGTCAATGTAATCCTGATACAGTATGTCCCAACCACCCTGACGTTTTGATTGTTTACCTCATCTTAAACTTTTATTTTGCTCTTACCAGGTTTTTCTTCTCAGAAATTCACTGTTCTAATCCACGGCTCTTTTATAGAGATTTCTCTCGAGTACTTTCTGTTCATTTCCTCTGTTTAAATGTGTATTTATATGTTTAATAAAAACAAGGTATGATTTACTTTCTGTGTCTCAATTGCTTCATCACACTTTTGGTATTTACTGTAAGAGCTAAAAGGACAGAGAAAACAAAAGTGACTTTCTTTCTGAGTGAGGCTGAGGACGGATGTGGTCGGAGCCGTTTCTCATCATTGACTTCAAGTCTTCACATGACACGACTGCTTTATTGAAGGGGAAGTCTGGAGCTGCGTTCAAAGACACAACTCAAAAATGGTTTATAAGCTGCTGCTCAAAAAGGATATCAGGTTACAGGTTGTTTGGTACATAATTGTTTTCAGGACTAAGAGGAACATAAGGAAGTAAAACAAAATATGATATATGCTCTTATTATGGGTTATTAGAGAGACATTTGTTTTTGTTACCCACTTGAGCAGTTTCTTCATTTTTTTGGCTTTTGAAAAAATTCCCAATTTTTTTTCTGCTTACCGTTTTAAAGAAAATGCGATATTTTGTAATTTTTTTCTGATGATTCTACAATGTGTGCTATTTATAATATTTTGTCTGCAATCCCACTCAAATTATTTTGCAACATTTTCAATATCTTTCTAAATTATTTGCGATTAAGAACGGTAACAGATCTTCAGGGAACGATGAGAATTTACAAAAACATTTCTCTCCTGAAAATGTTGTCAGAAATAATGATTAAACCTATTTTAATTCAAATGTAACAACAATGTGTTTATATGCATCTTATTAGCTTATATGTTTTTGTATAAAATGAAAATATTCAAGTTAACCCTAAAATTGTACTAAAGTTGAGCACTTGAATAGCTTTCAATCTTAAACAAAAAACATTAGAATGATGAACCACAGACTTAAAAAGTCACTTGAGATAAAACCACATTCTTCAATGACAGGAAATAATCCGATCGCACTTCAAAGTAAAGTGAACCCCCCCTCTTCTTTTATAGTCAGCGTGTACTTCCTGCTCTCAGACGGAGTTTCTGTGAACAGGAAGTACCCAGCAGAGATGCACCCGGGGTCGTGACCTCCGGACACACAATGCTGACAGTGAAGGGAACAACACATGCAAGAGTTTTATTACTCTGGCTGCCTAAATATATAAATATACATGTATAAATACTGTACGTTGTTTGGTTTCTGGCTCTACAACAGGGGTGTCCAAACTACGGCCTGGGGGCCAAATGCGGCCCGCGGACCATTTTGAATCGGCCCTCAGCAAATTCTAAAAGTATAATGACTTAATAAACTTCTGCTCGTCTTATATTGTACTTCTTAAATATATATATATACAAATATATTACACTGTATTCATGTGTTAATAAGCCCAATTTTCAAATCAATTCAGTCAATTCATGTTTTCAACTTGAATTGACTGTTGATTTAATTGTCAACTTAGATTTGTTGATCTTTTTCTGATCAACAAATCTAAGTTGATCAGAAAAAAGCCTATTAACAAATATACATAACAACCTTGAAATACACCCTTCATATTTCCTCTTATTACAAGCAATCTGAGGCTTCTGTTTTAAGGAATGAGCTGCAAACAGCATAAATGAAACCCTATGGAGAGCTGTGATGTAGGCTGTTTCTTTCTTACAGCATGTTCAAGTATCAAGAATCATTGACCTACATTGGATTGATTTAGCTAACTTATAACTGAACTTAAGAGGCATTATAGCTCTAGTGAGGGGCCCTCAGTGAGAAAGCTTTGGAACCCCCTGCTCTACAAGGTGTCACACTTACATTTGAGTGATTTATAATCTTTCTAAATGTGTTGCACATTGTTGGCACTTCAACTCCAACATTTCTTGCACTATTTCACCAAATGTTTGACATTCCTACTTTGACGGTTTTGCATCATTTTTGAGCATGTTCACACCAAACTTTGTGCGAAATGTAATGTTTTTGTGTCATTTATGTGTTATTTTCTGTGTTTGACAAAGTTAGATCAGATCCATGTTGAGCAATGAGGAGGATATTTGTCTTGGTATATGTACATGTGTCATCATTTATTTTACAAAATCTCTTAAAGGTGGGGTAGGTAATTCACTTCAGAAACACTTTTTGTTATATTCCATGGAATGCTCTTAACATCCCGATAGCAATGAATACATTAAATGCTTTGACAATAAATACATAAAAAAATGTTCATCTGTGGAAGCCGTAATACTGTAAAAAGCACGACCAATCATTTTAGCCGGCCCGGCTAAAATAACTGGATGGCCTACCTGCCTGTCAGCCTTCCATCTCGTGCACAAACTTATCTCGTGCCCTCATTGGTCATGTGCACGTTCGTGTGTGTTGGAGGAGGGGCTCTGTAAGGAAGTCTGAAGGAAGGGGCAGATTTTTTTCCGCTGCGTACTTTCAAATTCTAGCGCACTCGAGCTGGTTTCTCCATTCTTACCTACCCTACCTTTAACATTTTTGCTTAAAATTTCAGCTAAGAGGAAAAACATTGTATAAGATATAAGATATTGAGATATTTCAGGCCTTTTTGGGAATTTCTACTCAGGGTTTTTAAGCACAAACTCATCCTTGTTGCGGTCTTCCTTCCTTGTTGAATACATTTATTATTACTTATATTATATTTATTATTAAGATAAGACTTTATTTATCCCGAAGGAAATTCTTGTTGAAATGTTATCATTATTAATGATAACATTTAGTGGCTGATCACTCAAAGTGAAAACAATGAAATAATCCACAGGTTTGGACTCAGTGTTTGACAGGTGATTTATGGGACATGTAGTGCAAAAACAGTTCCAACAAATAAAATAAGCAAAAAATATAAAAGGTTTAAAGCAGGTTACCTCCTCTGTGCAGAAGTTAACTACATATTAAAACAGTACAGTGCTGAGTGGTGCCCCCTACAGGTCGAGCGGTGCGTCAGCGGGCGGCTCCGTGTTGCTCTCTGCTGCAGCGACCGAGCTCTGAGACGTGCAGCCCAGAGCCGACACCGGCCAGTCCCGCCCCGACAGGCTGGACGCTGCACACAGGACGAGAGGGGGGGTCACATGAGACCTACCAGGGCGTGTGTGGGTGATGTGTGAGCCCCTTTACACCACAATTAAAAATCATAATTGTTCAGCATTGCCTTTAACTAACTCTCACTCTTCCTTTGTTTTACTTCTACCTGTTACCTTTATTGTTAGTTTACCTGTTTTCAGGGTACCCACACTTTCTTTAACATCCCATTTCAAGGGGCCCTATTAGGTCCTAAAGCAGTCTGCAGTGTCAAATATCAGGTTTTCTTAAGTGATATTTAAATCAGATGTTTCCTCTTAACATTTTTAAAAGATGATAACTTTGGACCTTTTTTATTTTATTCATTTTCATACCTTTTAAAACAAACTGATGCATTAATCAGAGATGAAGTCATCAGAGAAACAAACAAGCTGCAGGGATTGGTCAACCGCTTAGAGATGTCCCGCCCCTTAGCCTATTACGTACAATGTGTTGGAGCACTAGATGTTACATAGTGATGTCACTTTGTTACAGAAGTAAACAATGGAGTCCAATCGAGACTTTTCAGGCAAGGGGGGGGGGAGTGTGTTGGAGAAAACAGCAAAGCAACACATGTATTGTGTCGATTAAGCGATTGTGTTGAAGAGCTTACTAAAATAACTTAAAGGAACTTATAAATGCAACCACTATCATGACCCATGTACATTTGATCTATTTTACTTCCAATTAACAAACTTTTAAGGATTTTAAGGACCCGTGGGAATTATAGGACTACAAGTAAGATTTTTTCGGTGACTTAAACAAGTGAAAGGCGCTTTTCAGAACTACTGTAGAGTATCACTTGGTAATACACTAATGTAGACATAGTTATGAAGATGATATTACATTTCTTCCTGTGTGTGTGTCTCACCTGAGCGGCTACCCTGGTTGCTCTTGGCACTGTGGGGGTGATGACCTTCGGGGGAGGCAGCGGGTTTGTGGGGGCACTTGGCTTTGTCTTTAGTTTTGCACATGCCTGCAGCCATCAGAGGAACATGTGATGGAGGTTAACAACGAGCACAACCCCGGCAGCTGCACCCAACCTTGACATTTTCAGCTCCCAGCCAAAATACATTGAATGATTTTTGTTCCCATAAATCATGTTCAGAACAAAGTGCAGAGAGAGACTCAGCATGAGATGTCAGCAGGTGTATAGTCACTTCCTCATGTTTCACATTATCCTTCCACGGTTTTGTCATATAGTTAAGTTGAAGGTTATTCGCAGTATTTCAATTGTCAAAGAAAACAAATCATTCAAAAATATATATTAAGTGCAGGAATAGACACAGGGCTTATTTGTTGCTTTAACCTAAATAATGTCAGTGCATCGTTTCTGAACATCTTTAGATTACCACTGGATTTAGTTAACGACCGACAGGTGTGTTCAAAGATCAAAGCGTGTCCATGGCAACGCCCTGCCAGTGAACGAGAGACAGCCTGTCAGAGAATGCATTGACAATATTGTGCTGCATTATTGCTTCTAAGTAAAAAAGTGTAACTCCAATCAGCTAAGTATCCTACCCAGAGTATTTGGGATACCAGATGAACACCTGATGACTCTCTGTTTGCTATATGTGGAAGTCAGTTTGATTAAATGAGCATATCGGTGTGGCCGTGACAAATTTCCCTACATTATGATCACCAAATTTTGTATGAAGAGTGAAAATTGTGGCCAGCCGAGCAATAGTTGGAAAAAAAACTCATCAGATTTTCCAGCTCCTCTCCCCTCTAGCCGTGATGTCACTCTAAGTCTTAACTCTCCCATACACACCCATTATAAAATGTGAAACAGTGTGAAATGTTCACAAAACGTAAGCTGCGACTACGTGAGAACCGTACTAGCTAAAAAAGATCCAATTAGTCTAATAAAGTCCATAGTCTCGAGAACTGTTTAAACTTGTAATTTTTGTTCTACGTTAAAGTATGCAGAACCTGTATGGGGTCAAAGTGGGGTGTTTTTGAGCTCTGTTCAAATGGATTTAGAATACTATTCTGTGTGTGGCTTCGCCAGTCACACAGAATTATAATAATAACAAGAACAATAATACTAATAATTATTATAACGATAATACAAATAAAACCAAAAATAATAATATAGAAACAGCATGTGTTCATAATTCAATTGAATCAACTTACCGTCCTTGGTGGGGATTGTAGGTAGTTTTGTTTCTGTATTTCTGATGGAAGGTGCGTTCAGGCGACCCTTGTAAATATGCCCATCCAGTCCGACGATATCAACTTCCTCTGACTAACCAGAAAAAAAAGCACATCTCTATAACAATGTTCAGAACTTCAAAATTCAATTCAAACATTGATGATTTTGAATCTATTTCTGACATTTTCAGGATAGAAAATGGCAGAAAGTGCCCATCTTTGGACTCCCGGTGGGCTGAACATCCTCAATATCCTCCAAAACCAAACCTAAATTGTTTAAATCGCCCTAGCCATTTTGTAGCTATTGTCTGCATATGCTAATGAATGCAACTTGTGCCAATTGTGCAAATTGCCCAACTTATGCAAGTAAGTAAAGTTAAACTTTACATTTCTATCATAACACTTCGGGGTACTCAACATTTCCAGGTTCACACCGCTGGCAAGTACACTAGTAGTAAGCTAAAACTCCAGAATAAATATGTGGATAACCTTTGCTGTGTCCCACCTGAATGACGCAGTCTACCTCTGCCTGGGGGGGGGTGCTTGTTGGTCTGCAGGTTGGTGCGCCGCTGGCTGGCCGAGGTGACGGTGTGACTCCCACCACAGCTCCGCAACACGGCCAGGTGACTGTAGTCCGTCATCTCAGAGACACGCTCGCTGCTCCGTCACACACAAACATGAGAAACCAGAGAAACTGTGAGTCTGTGTCGTCTTTGTTTCCGTAGCAGTCATTTGAAATGAAGTGTACATTTGTCTTAAGCCTAATTTTCCAAAGGATAATATTACAAGTTCAGGTGTGCATGTGTTGCTGTTGATTTTTATATATATGTTTTTTTTACGCTTTGAGCACCGCACAATTGGAATCTAGTTCCATTAAAAAGGGAGAGAAGGCCTTTCTACCAAAACAATGTATAGATTGATAGGAAAACATTTTTGTTTTACTTTGGGGTGAACTGTCAATTTAATATACAGTAAATTAAACTAATTAAATGTCCCTGTCTTATGTCCTCAAGCCACCTCTCCTTCTCCTAACCCTTTTTATATCGCTTGTCCTCTCCTCACCTTTTCTTTAATTTCTTCTCTTGTCCTCACCTCCCCTTCTCTGTCCTGCTTCCCACCCTCTCTTTCTCACCTCCTCTCTTCTTCCTCATTAGCTCTCTACCTCTCCTGTACTCTCCTCTCTCTCTGTCCTCCTCTCCCCTGTCCTGTCCCTGACTCACTGCAGTATTCCCGGCTGGTTCTGGTTCAGGTTGTCCCCCGCAGTGTTGCAGTTCTTCATTGTCCTCTGATCACTCTCTATCTGCCTGCACATCACATCGTGGCTCTTCTGTAGCTGCTCCCTCTTCCAGCCAGCAGTAACTCCCTCAAAGCTGTAGCGGTTGCTCCCTGGTTTCATTCTGTGACGGCAAGACCAGCTTACAACCCGCACTTATTCTACATCGCTTTGGATAAAAGCTTCAGCTAAAAGAAATGTAATGTATTGATGGATCAGATACTTTGATGCTAATGTTCTGAGAATTAAAAGAATGAATGTGTACAGTGTATTTTACATAGTTTTACATTCACTGTTTATAGTATTATATTTTATATGTGTATGTTTTTCTTATTCCTGCACCTATCTTTTATCATTATGTCTTTTGCACTATTTCTTTTCTTTTTATGTCAAATAAATGGTATACTGCATTGTTAGAGGATCCTGGGATTTTCATTACTGCACTGTAGCTAATGTGCATATGACAATGAAGCCTATACATCCTTACATGAGTATTTTCATTTTCACTTTGACTCCACTAGATTTATTTAACACATAGTTACTAGCTACTTTGTACATATAAAAACACCTTATTAATGCTGATATGATGCAGTACAGTACTAATAATCTACAAAGTATTTTTAAAAGTAATGACAATGTTCTTAATATTTGGATGAACATAAAAGTTATTTGACATGTATTTGTTGGTGATGAAACAGAATGATATTGTATAATACTGTAAAAAAACGACATTGTGCATACTGAGTACATTCACTTTTGATACTTAAGTACAATCTGCTGATAATACTTCAGTATTTCTACGTAACATATTTTATTCAGGATTTTAACTTTATATAATGGATTATTAAGAATATAAGATGTATTTCTATTTATTTTTATCTAAGTCAAGGAGCTGAGTATTTCCTCCACCTCTGCCTATTTGAAATAGCAACTTTGTTTATGGTTCTATGTGATTGAGTGAGTTACTATCAGACCCTGGTGCCCCCTGCTGGGAAACAAAGGACACCGCAGAGGAGCTCACCTCCTGTAGTGCTGTCTGAACTGCTCCAGAGCGTACACAGTGAACGGCCTGATGGACCTGTGAGAGGGGAATCCAGCAGTAGACGACAGCTTCACCACGTGTCTGTTGTTGTCACAAACATACAAGAGCAGACAAGTTTATATAACTAAGGATACATATCCAGCATCTGAATCTCATTATATAAATACTAATAGTGTGAAATCAATAGTGACTCACTGTCCGGAGTTGTGCATGGCCACAGGCCGGTCACAGGAGAGGCAGTGAAATCTGTCCACCAGTTGTCTGGAACCAAAACACAAAGACAGCTGACATTGACATTTCTTGTTGATTTACACATTTTGCAACACCTATGAGTATGTCTAATTTGGATATGGCAGAAATGACTACTTAAAAGATGGCATTATATTAATAGCACATATTGCCAACCAACTTTACATTTTACAGAATGAAAGTGAATTACAGCCTCACAATCATTGTGACCTTTCACAATAAAAGCCCTGGACATACACTGCATCAATGATTATGGAAGCAAATTCCCACAGAGGATATAGCTCAAATTCAACAAAACAATTGTGTATTGTATATTGTTTTACCTGCAGGGTATTGCGATACCTTTCTAGTGTTGTTCTTTTACACTAGCAGGTGCAACACAATCTAAAAAAAGAGTGATGTCAGCGCTTACTTTCTGATACCAGCAGCGTCCTCCTGCTCTGGAGCTCCCTGATCCTGCAGCTTCTCGTGGATGTTCCTCCAGCGATCCTCCAGCTGCTTCTTCACAGAGGCCAGCTCTATCCTGTTCAACTGCAGAAAGGTGAGGAGTGAAACACCACCTCACATATAGTCACAGATCCCTCATGTGTATCTCAGCATCAGATGTTTACCTTACACTCCATGTCGGAGGAGAGTCTTTCGATGACTTTGTGCCAGTCCTGCTCCTGGCCTGTCACCTTGTTCAGCAGCTCCTGGAACATGGCGTTCAGCTGCTCCGTCACCGAGTCAAACTGCAGGCGGGTCACTTTGCCGTCCAGATCATATTTAGCTGCCTTTTTCTGGTGTGGAGACAACCAGAGCAGGTTCAGGACAAACAGGGTCTTAAGACAACAGGATGTCCCCATCTGAATAACTCAAAGAAAATGTGTTTGTGATTCAATAAATATTTTACCACAACAGATTTAAGTTCCTACTAAATTATTGTGCAGATTACATTTTACACCTACATTTATTAATATAGCAGATGCAATAGCTTTTTCTACAGCAACAACAAAAGTACTTTATTCCCCACCGTTTTTCACGTGTGGATGACTTCAAATAAAATAACATTTGTATGCGTGTACTAATGAAAAACATCTGAACGCAAATAGAATTCTCAAACAAAGAGTTTCATAAAGCAAATGTATTCTTGAATTCAATAATATGAATTACAAATTCATTAAAAAAAATCTGCAAAAGAACAATAAGGGCGAAGAATAATGGTAATTAAAGTACAAATAAAAAAGAAAATACAAAGACAAATCTCGAAATACAGAGACACTAAAAAAAAGTATATTTTCTTTAAATTATTTGACATTTACTTCATTCCATTGTATTCATTGTATGTTTCTATTAAAAAAAAATTATAAATGTATTTATTTGAAAATAAAAAACATTTATTTTCTCTTTATTTAATGTAATTGATGTGTTTGTATGTTGATACCATAGACTGTATATATAGGTTGATAGATATGTTGATCCTCTCTCCTCTCAGCACATAGTGCACTTAGTACAGACGTGCCTGTATCCACAGTATTTACGTTTTAGTGGGAAAAATGAACCCACTTACGATTTCACTCTCCACCATCTGCTTGTCGGCCTTCTTCTCCTCCAGCTCTTCCGTTGTCTTGTACAGCTCCTGTGGAAACAACAACGGTTATACTCAGCAATAATCAACATAAGGAAAGCAAAAAACCTACTCTTATTTAATCAATTAGGCTTATTTTCGGATTCTTCTGTAAATAACTAGCAAATATAACCTCTGCAGGAGAATGCAAATAATCATAGTTTTGTTTTTAAGGGTCAAAAGCCAAAATGATAGTCAACCATTGATATTCTGTAATAAGTCAATAGATAAATAATGCAATATGTAGAGTTGTTGCACATTTTCAGTATCGATACCATTATTTAAACAAAACCTAGTTAAAAGTAATCGAAGTGTGTCTATTAATTATCTTGAAAGGCATTACTTCACCGTAAAAACACAAATGTTTTTTTTACCTCTATGTGGCTCTGTTTCTGGCTGTTGTCCTCGTTCAGAAATCTTGTGGTTTCAGTAAGTTTTTCACAGTCTGTCTGAAGCTGCAGGATCGCATTCTGCACGTCGTTCACCAGCTCCCCGTTCTGAAGCACACATACACACTGTTATAGACAAACAGTCATATTCAAATATACTTCACAGCGGTCCCAGCTTCGACATCACATTCGCTGAAAGTGAATAGTGTTGCATGAGTACAAAAAACATGACTGAACTGGACTTATGTATTAACGGTAGCATTTTAGGGGAAATTATGTTGAAAATCACTATCTGATAAACCACATCTGAACCAAATATCATATTCAAAACAGTGATTTCCAAGAAATTCAATTCGCTAACCAATGTTTCAACTATTGGATGAGTTTATATGCAAGTTTCAGTAATCATGGCTCAGTCCCAAAGCAGCTGGACTTGTTTTATTCAAACACTAACGATCCCACATGTGACTGATTACCAGAGGTTAAACACCTGGGACCCCCCCACCCCCCAGTCCTCATCACAGATTCCATTACTTACCATTTTAGAGTGCAATGATTGTTCTACATTCCATAACCAAGGTGTCTGTTACTTCCACCGGTAAGAAGTGGTAAAAAGCCTTTAGGACACATGCACACTGCAAGCCTTAGTGCTTAAAGGTAGGGTAGGTAAGTTTGAGAAACCGGCTCGAGATACACTTTTTGTTATATTCCATGGAATGCTCTTAACATCCCGATAGCAATGAATATCTTAAGTGCTTTGACAAACAATCCATAAAAAAATTTCATCTGTGGAAGCCGTGGTACTGTCAATCATTTTAGCCGGCCCGGCTAAAATAACTGGATGAGCTACCTGCCTGTCAGCCTTCCATCGGGGCACAAACTTATCTCGTGCCCTCATTGGTCATGTGTGCGTTCGTGTGTGTTGGAGGAGGGGCTCTATAAGGAAGTGGCAGATTTTCTCCGGTTGTGTATTTTCAAATTCTAGCGATCTCGAGCCGGTTTCTCAAACTTACCTACCCTACCTTTAATTTGGATTCATTGCTTATTTCTAATTTTTTTGTTTTAGCTATTTAAGTTCTTTTTTCACGAGAGGCCAATATCATACAGTAGTGTGAACAGGACTTGGAGCTGAACCTTTTATCTAAAGTGACCGGTGCCTTGCTCAAGGGCATCACGGCAGGGCCCAGGAGGTGAACTGGGATCTCTCCAAGTGCCAGTCCACACTCCATATTTTAAGTCTGTTCGGGGACTTGAAGCAGCGACCCAACCACGGCCAGTCCAAGCCCCTACTGACATCGCAGCCGTCTTCCATGTTTGTCATCACACAGTGATTCAGCAGAGCAGAAATGTAACCAATATCCATCTAGAATCATTTTTTGAAGACATTTAGAGATTACAGTATTCATCTACTCATGTAATACTCACCAGAATCAACCCAGATATAAACCTTAAAGCACCACACGCCTAGCACACACAATATCAAATGACATCTGACCAATACTTCACATTAGTTTTCCTGAACATTCTGCCGGTCTGTCACTGGATGCATCGCACTTGAAGTTTCTGCACTCACTTTATCTGTGTGTGGCAATACGCATTTCAGTTGCTATCCAATGTTCAGTGGCTGTGTTGCTGTGTTTTGCTGTTTTGCTTTTTGTATATCTGTTGAATAACAGCAGTGAAAACAAATACCCCCCTGGGACAGTAAATCTGAATCTCATCTATCTTGCCTCTCCGTTGTTGGGCGGCTGAGCTCTGCCTCCGCTCTGCTGCTGGAGCAGGCTGCTCACTGCGTCCTGCAGCTGCTCATAGTGCTGGAACAGCAGGCTGAGCTTCCTGCCAACGTTCACCGGTTTGCCTGTGAACGCTGAGCCGAGTCCCTGACTGTCATCGTCGCCCTCATCCTGTCCCACCTCGGACAGGTCAGAGGTCAGCGACTGCATCATGTCCTCCAACATGCCTCGCAGGTCGTCCAGCTGAGGTCAGAGGGCAGACAGCTGACGTTAGACTCAAACTTTTGGATTTTTTTTTAACTACAGATAAACAGTAACAGGCATGTCGGTGTTGCAGCAGCATATCAGTATCTGACCTTCACTTAATGACCCTGTGTGTCCCTGTTGTTGACTGCCCCCCCCCTAACTGTCCCTCCTGTCTGACCTGATTCTGCAAGTGCTGGTCTTCTGTTCTCTCCAAAGTTAAAGCCTGTTGAGCTTTGAGCTGCTTCAGATCCTCTTCCAGTTTCTGCAGAGACTTCCTGCACATGACGGTACGAACATGAACACAGAACATCGACTTCTCCGATCTGAACACTCACAAAGGACTAAGTATATCAACGCAACGTGGAGAAAGACCCCACATTTAAGTGATAAAAAGAAAAAGAAATGTCTATAGATTTAGAAGTGCAACATTTATCTTCAGGTTTCAATTTCTAACAAATCAACTTCACTGATTATAATAATAGGTTATAATAGTTTTGAGTTTTCAATCAGTTTTTGTTTTATTTTATTTTTAACATTGCGATTTAATTTGTGTTTGCTTTCCATAAGCATCTGCTTGTTTAAGCTTGGTAGAACGACACTTGATCTGATAAAATATCAAAAACCGTTATGTTGTTATTTAATTCTAGAAGACTTTGAAATTGGAAAAAATAAGCACTATTCATAATGAAGCGTTGCAGCATCTGCTGGAAGTTTCTGTGGTTGCTGTCTCCCACCAGGTGATATTTAAATATTCTTTATCTCATTTTCATGGGTTTATCCTCAAGAAATACATATTTTTATATTTTGTTCAAGTTTACAATACTTTTTTTTTTCTTATTCTGATTTTAGTAATACAAGTTTGCAATAATAACCTTGTACTGGTGATGGGGAAACTTTTCTCCAATATTTCACTGAGGCAAAATGCAATCAAACTAGAAACATTTCATGTAAAAAACATTCTAAACTCTACATGAATGTTTCTCAAGCTAGAAACTCCTGTAAAGAAGAACATATAAGTCCCACTTTGTTACCATCAACTGTGAACAACCACTACATTATTGTCGCAAACTCTGTTGCATCTTTCTTGTCTGCTTAAGTTTTGAAGGATGTGGCTCAGCTGTTGAGTAGATACATATTCTAGAGATGTATCCCTGTCCCTGTGTTTCCTCCTGTCGTTACCTGAGGTAGGATATTTGCTGTCTGAGCTCAAGAGAGGCTTTGCTGTCTGCCTCCTTGTTCCCTGGAGCTGCCTCTGAACTGGATTCTCTGTCTTGACTCGACATGTTCATAAACATGTCCTCCAAACTGTCCAGCTTGGGACAGACACATCGTTTGAATCAGAAAACATAGATTACTGAGGAGTGTACGCTGATGTTCTTAAGTTTCTCACCCACCTTTTCCCGGTCTTTCATCAGGTTGTCTATTAGAGCTTTCTGTTGGTTCAGCTGATCCATCATGTTATTTGATGCATTCCGTGAACCTACAAGTTAAATATTACATCATTAGTACAAGTCAGGGAAGTAAGTAATAGATCCAGGACAGGTAACTGACAGGTTTTTATTAATAATGATGAGAAAAAGAAATAAATCTAAAGGCTGTCAATTAAAGTCGGTCTCTGGTCATCTTTTCTCTCCATGCCTAATAAATGCATAATCTAGAGCAGGGGTCGGCAACCTTTTTGATATGAAGTGCCATTCAAAAAAAATTATTTTACCAGCGTGCCGACGATCGTGAATTATCAACAGGAGGGCGGGGAGCCTCGCTGCGGGGAAGCAGTGTGTGGACCTGTCAGCGCAACTTACATGATGCCGAATAATTGGTTCAAACGGCATAATTATAATGACGATCGTCCGTTCTGTGATTCTCCAGAACACACAGATGGCCAGTCCGCCCCTGTGTAGCATATTATTTCGATGAGAGATGAGCAGATCGCCACTGGGCTTTCAACTAAAGACACATCCACGCAAAAACTGCGGCATTTGTACAGCTCCTTATGGGTACTGCAATTTGTGAAGTGCCGGCGCGGCAGCAGTGCTTTCCTCCGTGGTGAAACGATCAGCACTGCACCACGGAGGAAAGCGGCAGAAAGTCACCTGGAGTTAAAGAGAGCGGGGCTGCGTTGCGTGCATGGCTCCTTCAGCATGTAACGGGGAGATGCGCTCTGGCGGCGGTCTCGTTCAGGATCCGAAAATAACTAAAGTGAAGTCGCTATATTCTGAAGCAGCATATTTCCCAAAAATATTGGAGTTTTCCTTTACAATTCACACTTTATTTTTACTCTCAATTTATTTACAATTGGCGAACAGTACCAGCTACCTCTTTCATTTGATATGGTCTTTTTTTTTTTATATATACTGCTACTCTTTTTACCATGGTTTACTTATCTGCTTTTTGTTTTTTTGTTGTTGTTATTAACGTGTGCATATTTAGTTATTTTTTATTTTTTAATATGCAATTCTATTCTCTTCACTTTATCTGCACTATACTTCTGCTGTTGTAATAATGTAAATGTTCCCGTTGTGGTACAAATAAAGGAATTCTGATTCTGTATAGATAGGAATTAGCTTTGTTAGCTTGTAGCACGAGGAAATCCTCTACCAGGACACATGTACGGTGGCCCTGAAGTGCAAGACACTACAGCATTTCAGAAAACACCACATCATTTCAGAAAACACTACAGCATTTCAGAAAACACTACAGCATTTCAGAAAACACTACAGCATTTCAGAAAACACCACATCATTTCAGAAAACACTACAGCATTTCAGAAAACACTACAGCATTTCAGAAAACACCACATCATTTCAGAAAACACTACAGCATTTCAGAAAACACTTCAGCATTTCAGAAAACACCACAGCATTTCAGAAAACACTACAGCATTTCAGAAAACACTTCAGCATTTCAGAAAACACTACAGCATTTCAGAAAACACTACAGCATTTCAGAAAACACTACAGCATTTCAGAAAACACTTCAGCATTTCAGAAAACACTTCAGCATTTCAGAAAACACTACAGCATTTCAGAAAACACTACAGCATTTCAGAAAACACTTCAGCATTTCAGAAAACACTACAGCATTTCAGAAAACACCACAGCATTTCAGAAAACACTACAGCATTTCAGAAAACACTTCAGCATTTCAGAAAACACTACAGCATTTCAGAAAACACTACAGCATTTCAGAAAACACAACAGCATTTCAGAAAACACCACAGCATTTCAGATTGGACGGAAGGGGTATTCCTTTAGGGAGAACACTTCTTGTTTGTGATTGGATAGAGCCAGCCAGAGAAGCACTGCTGTGATTGGTTGTTTTTGCTGCCAATCAAGAAATGACGCTTCGTGATTGGTCAGCACCCGAGCGCAACATGTCCCAACACATCAACCGTTAGCTGTTAGCACACACTCAGAGCTCACAGCTCCTCATATCTGTTCAGAAACTGGACAAAAGTTTTCAATTTCATTTCAAACCTTTATTTAACCAGATTGGTCCCATTGAGATCATAGATCTCATTTTCAAGGGAGACCTGCACAAGTTAAACATGTACAAACCACAGACTGTCTATGTCATGGTGAATACAGTCGCTGCTTTATTTATGTCTGTATGACGCTGTTGTGAGTGTGGACGGAGCAGCTACAGGTTAGTTTAGCCTGATGGATCCGATTCCATTCAGAAAACACGCATTTTAAAAGCTTTTCGCCTGCCGTCTTGTCTGTAGACTTGTCAAAGCATTAATTCATGGTTTTTACTAACCGGTATCAGTATGTAGTTACTTCGGCATCACTTTGAAACGTGTATTACAATTAAATCACGGTCAAATATGTTCATTTTGTTGTAGTTGGTATCTCCCATAGGATTTACATGGAGATACGCCCCACCCCCTCTCCAGCGCGTCCTGTTTGAGTGACAGGAGCAAACACAGCTGACAGCCGCGGTGAAACTCGAGCGATTAGAGCGATGCGAATATTGGGTAGTCTACCATAGTATTCACATGGAGATAAGCCCCTTAAAATCCATGAATTAATAAAGCATTAATTCATGGTTTTTTCGCATCGCTCTAATCGCTCGAGTTTCACCGCGGCTGTCAGCTGTGTTTGCTCCTGTCATTCAAACAAGACGTGCTGGAGAGGGGGCGGATCGATCAGGCTAAACTAACCTGTAGCTGCTCCGTCCACACTCACAACAGCGTCATACAGACATAAATAAAGCAGCGACTGTATTCTCCATGACACAGACAGTCTGTGGTTTGTACTTGTTTAACTTTTGTCCAGTTTCTGAACAGATATGAGGAGCTGTGAGCTCTGAGTGTGTGCTAACAGCTAACGGTTGATGTGTTGGGACATGTTGCGCTGTCGGGTGCTGACCAATCACGAAGCGCCATTTCTTGACTGGCAGCAAAAACAACCAATCATAGCAGTGCTTCTCTGGCTGGCTCTGTCCAATCACAATCAAGAAGTGTTCTCCCTAAAGGAATACCCTTTCCGTCCAATGTGAAATGCTGTAGTGTTTTCTGAAATGCTGTAGTGTTTTCTGAAATGCTGTAGTGTTTTCTGAAATGCTGTAGTGTTTTCTGAAATGCTGTCGTGTTTTCTGAAATGCTGTCGTGTTTTCTGAAATGCTGCGGCGTTTTGTGAAATGCTGTGGTGTCTTGCACTTAAGGGCCACCGTACACATGGTATGTGTGTGAGTAATTCATTCTTTTAAGGTTGCTCTTTAAATGTTTACACAATCAGACACAAAAATCTCTCATGTAGAATAATAAGTCAACACTCATCAGGTGCTATGCCATTACCTTTGTTAGTGATGAGCTCTTTCAGGTGCTTCAGCTGTGACGGTTCCAGCTTTCCTTGTTCCAGCGCAGCAACTCGAGCTTCCAGCTTGCTGAAACTCTCTTTCAGTTTGCCGATGTTCCTCAGGGCATCCACCGTCTCTGTGTAACGCTCCGAGCCGCTGGCCTTTCGAGGCAGGAGCGTAGCAGCAGCCGTCCCGCCTGTTTCAGGATCAGTCTGCTGTGGGGGCCCTGATGGGACTGAAGGAGCCTCTGTGTCCAGAGAACCAGGAGCTGTGGGCCTGCTGGGGTCCTCCAGGGGGCCGGGGGAGGAGGGTGTGCTGGTGTGAGAAGGCGTTGTGTTTGCAGCAGTGAAGCTGCCGTGGAAAGGTGTGTGTGTGGGTCTGATCCCTTTGGCTGGATCGATAAGTCCTGCATTTACAAGGTCCTGCAGAAAACGTAGAGACAAGGAGACAATACACAGGATTGTGCTGAATGATCACTTTTATCATAGAGTGTTTTAATCAGTCTGTTGTTGGTAAAGACAATGTAACAAAAATCTGAACCTTTGAATGCTTCGACAAAGACACAATGTCTGATATGTTTAAATACCTCATTGACAGCAACATTCATTGATAATACACTGAAAAAACTGAAACATTGACTTTAATTAAATGTATTATGTCAACAAATTTCACATAAATGTATTTGGATAGTTGAAAGCAATAATATAGCGTTTTTGTTATTTAAACTTCATATTATTGTTTTCAACTAACCTAATACAGTTATGTGAAATCTGTTATAAAGTAAACGTTTCCGTTTTTTCAGTGTAGGGCTGTACAAATCTTTTTCCTTTACTGTACTAGTTTTAACCAGGCTTTTCGGATGAAGCTTTGAATATCTGTTGTCAATATTTTTCAGGTAATCACTCTAAACTTTTTCAAAGAAATCAGAAATGTGAATACAGTGGTTATTGGGTCAAATGAGTCATTCATTTCCCATGGAACCAACTTTCTTTAATAAATATAACTTGTCATTGTGTCAGTGCTTGCTTCCTTTTGTTTGCAGCAAACTATTTTTTGAGCGCAGTGAAAATGTGGTTTTTGAAAAGCTAAAAAACAACACATATTGTTTGTAGCAGAATAATTGGTTGAGTGTTTTGAAATGATAAGATAAATATTTTTTCTATAAATGTTTACTTTTGGACGCTCTGGAGGCATTGGAAACAAGTCTGAAACAGTCCTACTAACGTATTCAACCTCTAAAAATATTATAATACTAATAATATTCAAGTACCCTAATCATTATCTGCTTTTAAATGTGGTACATGGATGTGGAGGCTTATAGGCAGCTGCTCTGTGCATACATAGAGTCACCGTCTTCTACAATGAGGCCTTTTGAATGCTGATTTTTGACCAAGCATCACTACGATCCCCTTCAACGTTGTAGAAATATCTCAAAAAACAGACTCAATGCATGTCAGGAGTTTCCTGTTCCAGTCTGAGGCTGAAAGCAGGCTTGATTCTCTTACTGACGCTTACTGAACTCTGTTTGGATCTCACCTTCTGCAGGATTTCTCTCTCACTGAGCAGCGACGACTGCATGACGTCCCAGGTCACACACTGACTCAGCTCCTCGGGGGCCGGAAACTTCTGGAATGTGTCCTTCAGAGATTTCTGTCACAGCGACAACCGTCATAAATGTTTTTAAAGCAATTTTTGGAAAATCTGTCATTGGCAACTTTTGTAAATGTGTAGAAAAATAAATAATCTCAACACACTCACCACAGCTTCCTGCAGAGCGTCCACCTGGTAGCAGCAGTTCTCCACTTCGGAGATCCTAACTGCCTCAGCACCAACCTTCAGGACAAAACATAGAGGGAATACATGACTGCAAGAGCTTCATTTACACTGGGGGGGGGGGGGGGGGGGGGGGGCAGGTCCACATAAAGACCTGCTACTTCCCTCTTATCAATATAACTGATAATAAATTACTAAGATCTCTGTCGTAGGTATGTCCAAAAAGAAAGGAAATATACGTACATGTCTGCCACACCCTGATCATATATCACCGTTATATATTATATAATGTTAGATACAGTCTATATTGCTTGTTTTTGTGTGAAACCGGTAGAGCAATTGTTCTACCTTCTCATGTTTGTGGAGGGTTACTTTGAAACATCTCACTAAAGATAGCTGGCATCTGTGCTTCATAGCGATTTAAATGCTCAATCAGGGGTCAAAAAAGATTTCTGGCAATTAATCAACTTATTTACTTAAATCTCAGAGCAGATTAGCGTCTCACTTTTCAACCACATCTAGTTTTTCATTCTCAATGTGTCAAAAATATGACTGACGTTAATTATTGTGAGAGGTAACAGTAGTATTCAGCTCCCTTATACAGAGCATCCGGAAAGTATTCAGACCTTAACTTTTTTCACATTTTGTTATGTTACAGCCTTATTTCAAAATGGATTAAATTATTTATTTTTCTCAATATCCCACACACAATACCCCATAATGACAAATAGAAAACGTTTTAAAAGAATGTTTTGCAAACGTGTTAAAAATAATAAAATGAAATATCACATGTACATAAGTATTCACACCCTTTGCTATGACACTGAAAATTGAGCTCAAGTGCATCCCGTTTCCACTGATCATCCTTGAGATATTTCTATTACTTGACTGGAGTCCACCTGTGGTAAATTAAATTGATTGGACATGACTTAGAAAAGAACACAGTTGTCTATATGAAGTCCCACCGTTGACAGTGCATATCAGAGCACAAATCAAGTCATGAGGTCCAAGGAATTGACTGTAGACCTCAGAGACAGGATTGTATCAAGGCACAGATCTGGGGAAGGGTACAGAAAAATGTCTGCAGCATTGAACGTCCCAACGAGCACATTGGTTTCCATCATTTGCAAATGGAAGATGTTTGAAACCACCAGGGCTCTTCCTAGAGCTGGCCGCCCAAACCAAACTGAGCATCGGGGGAGAAGGGCCTTGGTCAGAGAGGTGACCAAGAACCCGATGGTCACTCTGACAGAGCTCCAGTGTTCCTCTGTGGAGATGGGAGAACCTTCTAGAAGGACAACCATCTGTGCAGCACTCCACCAATCAGGCCTTTATGGTAGAGTGGCCAGAAGGAAGCCAAAGGCACATGCAAGCCCCCATGGAGCACTAGAGTACTCTCAGACCATGACAAACTAAATTGTCTGGTCTGATGAAACCAAATTTGGCCTGAATGCCAAGCATCATGTCTGGAGGAAACCAGGCACCGCTCATCAGCTGGCCAACACCATCCCTACAGTGAAGCATGGTGGTGGCAGTATCATTGGCAGAACACATTTCATTGTGTGTGCTGTGTGCTCTGCATGTGTGACCATTAAAGAGGGTTTCATCCCTCCAATTCTATTCTATGCTGTGGGGATGTTTTTCAGCAGCAGGAACTGGGAGACTAGTCAGGATCAAGGGAAAGATGAATGCAGCAATGTACAGGGAGATCCTTGATGAAAACCTGCTCCAGAGCGCTCTGGACCTCAGACTGGGGCAAAGGTTCACCTTTAAACAGGACAACGACCCTAAGCACACAGCCACGATAACAAAGGAGTGGCTTCGGGACAAGTCTGTGAATGTCCTTGAGTGCCTCAGCCAGAGCCCAGACTTGAACCCGATTGAATATTTCTGGAGAGATCTGCAAATGGCTGTGCACCGACGCTCCCCATCCAACCTGATGGAGCTTGAGACAATCTGCAAAGAAGAATGTGAGAAACTGCCCAAAGATAGGTGTGCCAAGCGTGTAGCATCATACTCAAGAAGGCTTGAGGCTGTAATTGCTGCCAAAGGTGCTTCAACAAAGTATTGAGTAAAGGGTGTGAATACTTATGCACATGTGATATTTGAGTGTTTTATTTTTTATTCATTAGCAAAAATTATTTAAAAACTGTTTCCACTTTGTCATTATGGGGTATTGTGTGTAGAATGTTGAGAAAAAAAATGAATTTAATCCAAATTGAAATATGGCTGTAACATAACAAAAATGTGTAAAAAGTGAAGGGGTATGAATACTTTCCGGATGCACTGTACATCCTCACCTGCTGCTGGCAGAGATCCCTCCTCTCTTCCTTCAGATTGTTCCCTTGGTTGTTGAGCTCCTGAATAAGCTTCATGGCCTAAAATGATAAAAGACAGACACTTACAAACCAAGCATTGGCCCGGACGTTTCATAACTTATTTTCTTTAACATTAAAATACAAAATATGTGTAATTAAATAGACTTGTTAAAAACTGTTCTCGATAGATTCTATAGCTTCATTTATACTAACAATAACAATATTTACAAATGTTGTGAAGCTTAATTTTTGTAATGCATGTCTATGGAGTTGGAATATGGATGGATGGGTACGGATGCCAATAAATATGATTAATTAGTATAATATTTATAGAATTGAATACCAGTAGTAGGATTGTTTATGACTCATGTGATTCAAAACTTTCCAATAACTCCAGAGCGTTGAAAAGTCTAAAAATAAAGTTGAATTAAGTTGATTTAATAACAAAAAGATTGATTAAGTTTAACCAATTACTTAATTTATTAAAATTGAGGATTTTGATTGACGATTTCATGTTTCTTCTTTTTTTTAGGGTAATGATAATTTGACGGTAATATGTGGCTCAAATGACTTCCAGGGACACTTTGACATTCATCTTAAACTAAAGAAATGTCTCAGGAATCTGACACATTGGAAAATCCCTCCGACCTTTGACCGAATGAAAACAGACAGGACTTCAACAAAAGCTGACAAAGAAGCACAACCCGGATGAGACAAATCAAGCTGTTACATGATGATCCCTTCTTTGAATACGTTTTTTCATTTCCTGTGAGGCTGTCGGGGTTTGTTGGCAGGGTAAACGTTTGTGTGTGTGTGCGTGTTTGCGTATGTGAGAACTGGAACAAAGGACATTCCTGAGCTGCATGTGAGTCCGTGTGTTTGACTTGTGTCAAACGTGCGGGGCATGAAGTGATGCATGGCGACCCCACAGAGCTTCAGCCTCCATCAGCAGCTCTAATGACTAACAGCTTGTTAATAAGTGCTGCCACACTACATGACACAGATATGACCTGTTACCTGACCGGAACTAGGGCTTTATTTTATTTACAATTTCTTCTGACAAAATTATACTTTTATGTCATGTATAATAATTAAATCAACAATATTTTTCCCTCACATGGTCATATTATTTTAAAGATTTCTCTAAAGATAGTTGGACTATGTTTCAGCTTTGGAAGGAGGAATAAGCAGCATCACCGGAGCGATAATTCATTTGTTTTATTTGAAAACGTACCCATCAGAATCAGTTTTATTACCAAGTAGGGTTACACATACGAGGAATTTGCTTTGGTATAAATGTTGCATACAAAGACACAGAAAGAAGAGTACATAGCAAAAAAAAATCCTATTATAAAAGCAATTAGAACAAATATTTTAATATGCGAGAAACTCAGAATACAGTTTTCTGAGCTTTTGTAAGTAAAATCAAAAACCAAACAATCATTTTAGAGGCTACACCAGTAAGTACTGGCCATTGTTTAAAAGAAATTCAAAGGTTTATTTTTTTACCTGAAAAACTCTAATTCTTGCTTAAGGGTTAGTGTGCAACACCGAATACAATTTAAATTAAGAGCAAAAAACGATAGAATTCAAACAAGGTCAAAGACAAAAAAAGTATAAATCTATGTAAAGGAAGAATTGCAATGCTTAGGTGTATAAAATGTAGCTCTGCTGAGCTTTTCCTCAGTAAAAGATAAGGATTACTCTTCTCCCAAAGTGTCACTTGATAGATTGTTTTTATGCAAAATGCACTAATAACTGTTTGTTTCAAAGTCTTTTGATTGAAGCAGTGGTAGGGCTGCAGCCAATAATTATCTTTGCTATTGATACATTTGCCAATTATTATGCAAATTCCATTAACAAGATTTTAAGATAATTAGCTTAATAATTAAAAGACAAGGCCAGCAAAAAGACCTCCCGGGCAGCAGTCATAAATCAGAGAAGTTACTCTGTAACCTGCCGCCTCATTTTCAGTAATCAACCATTAACTGACTGTTGTTGCACTGTGACCAGCAAACGTCACTCAGCTGTTCTCACATATCCTTTTTCCACTGAAAATCAGTTCGGTTCTAGCTCCGTGCTAGTGCTTTTTTGGTTGGGAGCTAATTCGCAGCTGGGAACCAGTTATTTTTCGACCGCCCAGTTACCCAGTGGTGCCACGTCATGACATAACCGTTTGTGTGGCACATTTTCATCATGGCAACGCCACTAACAACAACAACAACAATGTTTGTTCAGTTTGATTTGACACTGGAATCATAACGCCGTTATCTGGTGTTAGATTGGTGATGTTAGCATAGAAACCAAAGCTAATCTGACTATCTTGACTGGTTAGTGTTGCCTGACTTTACATATTTGTGTTTTTTATAAGTGTGGTCGCTTTCTAGTGAATCATTTGATTCTCTCGCTGTACTCCCCAGGAACTGTTATTGCTCACGTTAATCTCGCCCCACCGCCTCCGATGTAAACCTGGCATATTTTTCTTGTTTCTTGAAAAGCAGTTTTTTGGTTCAAAACACGAACTGGTTCACAACCGGGCACTAGCTCCGAACTGGCCCTGGAACCGGTTTGGTGGGAAAAGGTAGAATCCCATTATGCACCATGGGGGGCCCCACAGCCAAACCGACTATTATGAAATCCTTCCTCTGACAGGTTAATGGGGGAACCTTGACATGGCGTGTATTATTATGATGCTGTTGGGAGTGTTGTCTGAGGGCACGCCGGGTCAGCTCTTCAAAGCGCCGTCAGCGGATACTGCAGCTGACCCCGACCATGCTCAGAGGACATGAATGATTCAGACGGGCTTCTGAAAGACGCAGCATCACCTGCACCTGCCCCATGTCCTGCTTTTCATCCCCTGACAACCAGAGGCATCTCTGTGGGGGACTAATTACCCCCCCATCACCAAGAGGGAGGGGGGAGGAGCGATGGAGAGATCAGGAGCAAGGGAGGCAAGGGTGGAGAGTCTATAAAATGTTAGGAAAGATGCTTAAAAGATGATCAATCTGCTGTTTTATATGTTTTGTTCCCCTATGTTCTAGTGCATCCTTCTTTTTTTGTATTTAGGGCTAAACTATTAATCGACGTTTTCTCATTATTGCATGAGTATGTCCTGCAATTTTCTAAATGCAGAAGGTGGAACATTTTTATGGCATAATTAACATTTTAAATGAAAAATGGTGATGCTTAAGAAATGTCCTGACATACACTTCATATTCTGCAGAACTTAGAAAAAACCTCCCTGAAAGAGATCCCTGCAAGGTTGCAGCATAAAAAATTGAATATGTTTTTCAATAAAAGCCTTGGAACAATCTGTAAAACATCATTTTTTCCAGATATCGCAAATGATATGATGATTGGACCGTCAGTCAAAATAATCACAATAAGATCATTGGGAATGAATGCAGGTGTATAACCAAAATCCCCCAAACACACATGCTCATAAACATCACAATGTCTTTTTTGGGGGGTATATTAATTATTATATCCAATCATAAATGTTTTGTATATTACTCTTTGTTCTCTATTACATTGGGGAATTTGAATTTTTACTTAGGTGGAGACTTCAAAAAAGCCGACTGAGTTGTTTGTCTCTTTCTGCATTGTATATTATTTGTTACCTGTTTACGTTATTGCATTAGACATTTTGCAAAAAATACCTACACCTGTAGTCAAAATGTGTTGTTTCTCTGAGATCAAAGTCGTCAGTTTCTGTACTTTACTGAAGATCCTCGCCTGTATCTAACCGTGGTTTAAAAGTGGCGTGAGAGAAACCTGAACAGACACGCAGAGGTCATTTGAGATGTCAGGGTGGCGCCCATCTCCCATTGTCCTCTCTGTCATTAGGGCTTATTACTGCGCTGAAATGTTCACTGCAACTCGCCAGATACAGAAGAGAGACCTGCTTGCTCAAAGGTCTCAGAGTAGAGAGTGCACTCCAGGTGAAATACTTTGAGTTTCTTTGGAATTAAAATCCCCATCATTTATGTAATAATACAATAAATAGATTTTAAAAAAAGAAAAAGAAAGGAGACCTCTTTGTGCTACCGCAGTTTTAAGATACTGGAAATATACTGATTTTATCATTATTATTTGTACTTTATTTGACCCTTCATTTAATCTTGTTTTTATTATCAATAACGTTATTATGTTCATTCTTTGACAAGGTCCCCTTATTTTAAAGCCCTTTGTGCTGCATTTGTTGTGTGAAAGGTGCTATACAAGTATTTTTGTATTATTTAGGTCATTTACCAGTTGCAACATGAAGTATTGAAAACATTAATGCATTAACAAACAATAATAATCTAATTATTTTATCCGGAAAGGGACTTTTCTGCAAACTCGAACGTCCTGGGTATAAGTTATATTTTCTTTATTACTGACCATGTATTTTGGTATTGTACATACACTTATTTTTGTGTAAAGTATGTCAATAACACTTAATATTATTATTATTGATATTATTACTACTATTGTTGTATTATGGATAATTTTCTTAATTTTCATATGTAAGGTTGAAAAAAGGAAACAAATAAAATGTTAGTCATAAACGTGATTTGTTTTTAATTTTGGACAATATAAAATATAGATAAAAAATAGTTTTGGTGTGTTGGTACACATTCTAAGCTGGTTAAATAAATGGAATATAACTGCATTTTGTTGTTTTTAACAATAATAAGACAAACTTTCTCTCACCTCGGACAGGCCGTCCTCGCAGGTCTGGATGCGGCGCAGGAGTCTCCCCTGACCGTCCGTAGCAGGACCGGAGGAGAGGACCAGACACATGGAGGAATCTACCCGCTCCTGCAGCTCGGTGCCGGGCTGAACCTCCAGCTCCAGCCCCGTCGAGATGTCACTCTGAACCTGCTGCTTCTCCTCCTCCTCCGTGTGCTTGTCCACCTGCTGTGGAGCGGGGACAGCCACCAGAGACTCAGGTGGCCCGTCCCTGGGAGAAGTGTCCGTCCACCCGGTCTTCATCTCCCGGATATCCAGCTGCCGGAGGATGGCATTGAGCAGGGCGTAGAGGGCGCTGAAGTTGACAGCTCCCTTGGAAGGTGTCCCAATAGCTAAATTCAACAAGTCAACAAGGCTGATGTTCTCCATCTTTGTTTGTGTGCGGGGAAACAAACCGTTAATTAAAGTTCAGCTAACGTTAGCTAGCTTTAAAAAACGTACAACTTCGACAAACAACCGTTAATTTCGTTTGTGACGCCCCCTGTGTGGATTTAAGGCGAACATATATTGGATAAAGTATAAAATATATATATAATTTAAATGCTTCTTAAATGTTCTTTCTATAATGTTAATAACCGTGTCCGGCATCCCCCCGGCGGCGGTAATCTCGGTGTCCGTTAGTAGAGTCAGAGTGTGATAAAATTCAAGAGAAAACAGCAACCCGGCTACGCCAAAAAGGACGCATTTACCGGAAATACAGGAAATAGCCCTTCAAAATAAAACGAAGAGAATATGAGCTACATGCACCTTTATAATTCATTGTAAACACAGTTTTTCCACATAATAATTACACCTATTACTCAATACCTGGTCATTTAAGATGGTTTGGATAATATAAAAAGGTATTTTGGTACCAGTAGAATTATATTATTTGTGTACATGTATTACATGTCTTATATATGTAATATGTAATGTAAAGCACTTCGAGTACTTGTAAAAGCACTAAAATAAATGCAATGAATTATTATTATTATTATTATTATTACATGTATTACCAATGTACTTCCTGTAATTATAAGGTGAATGCACTTGAACCTTTGCAAGTGTTTTGGGTTGATTTTCATTTAGATCTTAAAAACACATTTTGCCAATTGTCTAATTCTAATACTTTTAGTAGATCTTGTGTATTTTATACTTGTACTGAAGGATCAACATATGTATCACCTATGACCTGTCGTCAACTTCTCTAAATAGGAAGGCTTTTATTTTTAAGTTGTGACCGGATACAGTATTTAGCATCCATTCTCGCTTGACGACATCGGCACTGTTGACAGATTCCCACGTTGGGATATATCCTCGCAGCGTTACAGGTTGCTATGCAACAAGCTGCAATCATGCAGCGTTCAAGAAAGAGTAGAATGTAGTCTTTTCCAAGAATAAAAACACTGTCTTTATATTTTTTACATAATAAAGCAAAAACAGTACTGTAACTTTTGCTTATCTTACAGTTTACATCTATTAAATTAAATAAATTGCTGTAACAATGCCAAAGTATTGCATATATTGAATTATTGCAGAAAATGTATGCACTGTTAAGACAGGTCAGGAAGTTTATTCGTTTTGCAATTAGTTTACACCAGCATACCAACAATATTTATTATATTAAAGATCACCTATCATGCTATTTTTAGGCAATAGCATAGGTCTCAGATATATAAAAATATATAAAAAACATGTCTATGAAGTGTTTTGCTCAAAATACCAAACAGATCGCCCTTTCTAGCCATGGATGTATAATAAGAACTGAATACAGCGTGGGAGGCGGGGTCTCGTTCTTTCCTATGAGAGCTGCTCATTGGCGCATGAAGTCAAAATGGCCCAACTTTTGAGAGAGCGAAACATCAGATTACCCATCATGCCTGGCTGCCAGAGCAGAAGAACCCGGTACAGGTTAGCTCTGAGTGTTAGCAATGCTAATGTAAACACCGACCATATTACGTCCAAAACAGTGGGGCATTGTTTCTGATAGCAACGTTTCTGATAGTGCTGTGGGTCCGCATTGCCGATATGACGTCAAATCGCTGCAAATCTGGATCAGCTCAGTTGTAGCCCCGTTTTTAGAGATTTGGGTACAGAGGAGGAGAGAGGGTTTTATTTTCTGACGCTGCGTTAGTTCCCTGACACACCGGGGACACATATTTATGTATAAAAGACATAAAAAAGTGCATTTGACATGATATGTCCCCTTTAAGATGCATGTCAATGTTTTCCTTTTTCTTTTACTTCCGCACTATTTTATGTAATATCTTGAAAATGTATTATTACAAATCTTAATCATTTGTCAGGGTGATTATCAGCAAAAAATATGTGTAATCCAAATATAAATGATGCAATCCAATTCAATTTCAAAATAATATTTTATTGATAAAAAAAACAAGCAAGCGAAAGTTCTTAATTACTACATTCAAGTATAAAATCACCATCATAGTACACATGCATTTCCCTTGACCTCATTGAGATTGATTGCATTTGCAACATGAAACTTAACTGAATGCGTTTCATTTGGCAATAAATGAACTGGATAAATGTGCTGTATTTCATACTTTGACACTTTAAACAAAAGAAAAATAACATACAGCATCTAAGATATAGTTCCTTGTTGCCCTTTCCCATTTCAACATTACATAAAGCTGTCTGGAAAAGACAAGAATGTTTTAAGGCCCGCCACATTTATTTAGCACTGTGCCGTTTTGGCATCAGATCAGTTTACAACAGCTGTGATTAAAAACAATAAACAACACAGAGTCTGCAGCCACGCCAGCCGCTATATGAGGCATTAAAGGCCATCGTAAAGAAATCAGATTAAAGTTAAGATCAACGGTTTAGTGGCTTTGAGGTCAGAATATTAACTGATCTTACAAATCAAGATGTATTGAGTCTCAGTGGTTAGTCATGCTAATTGTCTTTGACAGCTTTTACGCGAAATGTTTGGTAAAAGTAATAAAAGGAAATCGCAGCTGGGAAGAGGCTAATATTCTGGGGAACAAAATCAAATTTTTCACAGTCACATTTTTAGAACTTTCTGAGAGGAAAGTCACAAATGACTGTACATTTCAGACTTTAATCTCAAATGAATTTCTTGCAAATCAATGACTTTTTTTGTAAATGTACCACTTTAATCTCAGAGAATATCTAAGAATGTTTCTAATAAATATACAACTTTAATTTCATACATTCTGAGTTTTCTTTATGAATATTAACCCCCTCCGACACCAATGTAATTCATTTTTCTTTACCTACAATATTATAGTATAATACCCAAAACTGAGCTGCTGGCGTAGCTAAAAACTCTGAACTTTTCTTTTTTTTATTCTATTCTTCTGTTTTACCATCTTGTTGTCTCTTTTTCCCCTTTAACATTCTCCATATTAGGAGACACAAAACAAACAGCCACTGTTCATTTCATTTGAACTAAATACAGTCACTCATTCATAATGATAAAAGGGTCCCAGACTGCAGAGTCATGAAGGAACAAGACAAGAAGAAAAGACAGCATCACAGAATAATTAACAACGGCATATTGTTTCATTGTAAATCAAGTAAATACAAAAAAAGCCAGGGTGGGTGGTCATAATCTGAGAATATTCAGAATTTCAAAGAATACAATTGTACATTAGCGAGAAAAAAAATCAGATTATGTAATTTTTGGTAAATTCACGACTTTAATCTCAGAGAATATCAAAACTATTTTCTTTTGAATGAAACGCTATGATATCAAATTATTTTCTGTAATTATTATTTTTTTCATTATTATTTTCAAATTGAATCTTTTTTATTTCTCTAACCACGACCCCCTCCCCAGGCTTCATAATGACTTTTTATTTTATTTGTAGCTACAATGGCTCAATACACTGTTGTAAGAGCGAGGCGGAAAGTGTCCCACATACAAATACAAAAAATGATAAATTCAGTTTCTTGATAATATTTCCCTTTTACCTGCTTAGCTCCCATTTAGCTGTCTGTAACGTCAGGTGACCGCAGATCGTAAAAGCTCATTGTAAGGTTGTGATAACCTTGTGACTGCAGCTGAGCATGTAGGACAAACTGGGAGTTCAGCAGAGTTCACAACACAAAGCTTCATGTTCACAGTCTTTGACAGAGTCCGTTACACACAAGGAGAGGAGAACATCATAACAGACGTATGGAGCCCAGGAGCTGTCAGTATTTTCTGGGATCAAGGTTGGGTTTGTTCGCTTGATGTGCAAGAGAGAGGAAAGACTTCTAAAGGCTAAAGTGGCATTAATGTATTTCTTATATTGTCAATAAATCCCATGAAAAGACCAAAATCAAAAAAAATTGTATTTCACTTCCTGTCTGTGGATCTCAGCTCAAAGCCCATTGGTTCCCACTGAAGACTTACATTTTAAAAACAAAAATAAATAGTTAAATGTTTAAAAAAGTATTTATCCCTTCACTGTTTGCTTTATTAGAAGTGCAATAATTGGACAACCGCAAAAAAAAGAAGGTATGATTTCATACAAAAATGTCACTGAATTATAGAGATTTGCTGCTTTTGTCAGTTTTTTTATATCATGTTAAAGTTAATTTCTTTGACAAAAAAAATATTTAAAAGACAAACTTAAATTTGAGAAGACATTTTCCACAATTTCTTTAGACATTTTATCAACCAAATTATGGAGAAATTACTCTGCAGATTTATCGATAATGAAAATAGTCATAACATGCAGCCTACGTTTGGTATCAAACAAAATCAAAGGGACTATTTTTAGTGGCGGATGAATCAACATTTAGGGCTCTAGAGAGTATTTGTGGTAGCCGTATGGTGTATCTGAAATCAAGTTCATGGTGAAGAAGTCACATGTCAATGTGGCTCATTGATGTGTTTTTAAATAGTTATAAACAACAATGGAGCAAAATACAAATACTAGTAAGAGGATGCATTAATATTTGGTTTTGGTCTTTTCATGGGATTTGCTAACAATAAAAAAAATACAAAATATCTCCAACCTTATCCATTAAACCAGCTGAAGAAGCAACAAACAACCAATGAAAACAGTAAAGTCAGTGTTAATTCCTCAGCATGTCTTCCCACAGGCACTATTGGGATACATCATTGTTGGCAGCCCCTCCAATCAAAAGTGCTTTTTATTTCATTAACACATCTCTATTCATCATGCCTCAGTAAAGTCAGTTAAAAGGAATATTTAACCCAAATAATCGATCATTTGTATATCTATTATTTCCCCCGTGTCACCTAACTTATTGACGCAAAATGTGTTTTTCCTCCAATGAATGGTGGCTGCATTTACCAGCAGTGGTTTGATGTTTTGATCAAGTTTAAACAGAACTATATCAAAACATCAGACCCTCGCACAACATATGCAGTATAATACAAAGTGTTTTAAATAGTGCAGTTTTAGTTCAAAGTCTTGTGTTTGTGAAGTAGTGAGAATCGGACAGGATAAGTGGGACTTGGATTATAATACAAAGGTTGTGTGAGAA